CCGCACTACACCATAGTTGCGTCAGGAGCTAAGATTGCCAGGGCCCCCCTCTATGGCTGCGAACTCTGGCTACACAAGAGCCTGCAAATTGCCCAGCCACATGATGCCAGCCCTCTCACCCTGGGACACGCATCCCTAACCGTGCAGCATGCCGACCCTCGACGCTTGTTCGTCCAGGCCCAGGTCGCACAACTTAGCTTCTTGTTCGTCGTCCTGCACACTCCATGTCTCCAAGCGCAGGTTCCAGGGCAGCCAGCCCCGCTTGATGCCTTAACAGACTGGTGGCAAGAAACAGCTGCCCTCATGGCCAAATTCCGCACTGACACCCTCATGTGGATCCTCATTGATGCCAACTCACCCCTCTGTGCAGGCAACAATGACCTGGTAGGTCCTGTAGGTGCAGAGCCTTTGACCAAACAAGGCGAGCTTTTCTACCACTTCCTACAAACTCACAACTTGGCAGTGCCAAGCACCTTTCCTCACCTGCACACTTGCCAGTCCACAACGTGGACACACACCAGTGGCCGCAAAAGCCGCAAGGACTATGTGCTGATCCCTGTTTCTGACTTGCCTCTTGTCAAAGCTTCATGGGTTGTGATTGATCACGACAACAACTTTGCCCACGAGGACCATCTCCCAGCTGCCATTTCGTTTCAAGGATGGCTCCCAGTTATGCCTGCCGCCCCCTCCTTCCAATGGGATGAAGCGGCACTCCTAGATCCTGACAAATGTGCAGCTTTTCGGCAAGCATTGACCACCTTGCCGCTGCCGGAGTGGGAAGTTCACGTGGATGACCATGCAGCCATTTACGAGAAGCAGATTTTGATGCTGGCACAACAACACTTTGCCAAGCCCAAAACCAAGAAAAGGGTGATTCAGCTCTCCGACAAGGCCTTGCAGGCTGTCGCATTCAAGCGCAACATCCTTGACTGTGGACGAAAATGCAACCTCTTCTCAGACCCTCAGTTCAAACAGGAGCTAAAAACCATTGAAAAGGAGGTGGCCAGTCTTGTCCGACGTGACATTCAAGCTCACTATGATCACCTCCTCACCACCCTAGAGCAGGCTGGAGAACTAGCCAACCACCGGCTCGTCTACAGGCTCCTCACCAGACTGGGTCGCAAAAAAGGAGCCAAGCCACCCGGCCCCAAACCCCTCCCCATGCTTTGCCTCGAAGATGGTTCCACTGCCACTTCGTTCACTGCCCAACAACTGATCTGGCGTGCACAGTTCTCCGAAATTGAAGCTGCCATTCCGGTTACCTGGGATGACCTGCAGGCGGCCAACATCCAGCCGCCACCTTATCAAGGCCTTGATGTCGATCCTGCAGCGTTCCCCAGCAGTTGGACAGTTCACACCCTCCTTTCCAAGCTTAAACGAGACAAAGTGGCTGGCCCCAATCTACTGCCGCCGGCAGTCATGAAAGCTGGCGGTGAAGTGATGTCCCGCCACCTTGCCATTCTTTTTGCAAAAGCAGCGGCCCATGCAAAGGAGCCGCTGCGGTGGAAAGGCGGTCAATTGATCCCCTTATGGAAAGGGAAGGCATCCCCTTCCAGGCCTGATGCTTACCGCTCCATATTTATTTCCAATTATACTGCCAAACTCTTCCATCAGAGTTTCCGTCAGCATCTTGTTCGTGCTTGGGAGCCCAACATCACGTGCATGCAGTACGGTGGCAGAGCCTCTCTTGGTGTCGACTTAGCCCACCATGTCCTACAATGCCATCAAGCCTGGACCGCCCAAAAGGGCATCCCTTCGGCCGTATTGTTTGTTGATATCAGGTCGGCTTTTTACACCATTCTCCGTCAAAGCTTCACTGCCCTACCAAGTGACAATGCGGCCTTCCTAAAGGCCATGACAGCCCTTGGTCTCACTCCCGAAGCTATTGGCCGTATGATTCATGCCACGGAAGGAGATGCTGTTGCGGCCCGCCTTTCAACACACATGCAGCACCTCCTGAGGGACCTTATGTCCCAGACCTATTTCACCCTGCCAGGGCTCCCAGACCCTTCCCAGACCACGAGGGGCACTCGCCCGGGTGACCCTGTTGCCGACATCCTATTTAACATGTGTATGACGGCTATCCTGGCCGATTTCCATGCCGACATCCACGCCCATTCCAAGCTTACGTGGCTTGGCCAACAGTCACCCATTCAGGAGTTCACTCCACCACGTGATGTCCCGCTCGAGGCCTATGCTGATGTCACCTTTGTCGATGACATCGCAGTGCTGCTGCGTGCCCGCACTAATGATCGCTTGATCGTCATGATCCAACATGTCGTTGAGGCACTGACAACAGCAACCTCCAAGCATGGCTTAGAGCTGAACCTTGATCGAGCCAAAACCGAAGTCCTCATCAACGTGGTCGGCAAAGGGGCCAAAAAACTCAAGGAAACCTTGCACCTGGCTTGCAACTGCCTCAACTGGACCCCAGCAGATGGCCCCGCCATCTCCCTGCCAACATGTCACGAGTATAAGCACTTGGGTACATGGCTTCAAACCAAGCATCGACACTCCAGAGAAATCATCAAACGGGCCTCAGCAGCTAAGCAGAAATTTGGTCAGCTTGCCCGATCTTTCTTCACGAAGAAGATCTCCTTGGAGGTGCGAGCCAAGGTCTTTCAAAGCCTTATCGTGTCCAAACTTCTCTACAACGTCCACACATGGGCAGGTGCCTCCGACAAGGATTTTGCCACATGGGCATACCATGCCAAGCCCATGGCTGCAGTGCTGCTGAAAGGAAGAATCGCGAGCACCTCCCGCTTTCAATACACCACCGAGGAGCTTTTTGCAGCCAGTGGCATCCTTCCCTTGCCGGATCAACTGCATGCCCAACGCCTGCGCTTTTTAGCCCGCCTCCTGAAAGCCTGCCCAGCCATCACATGGATGCTCCTGCAGGCCACATCAGGACCTAGCTCATGGCTTGCACTATGTCGCACTTCCCTTGCCTGGCTCTGCCGCCACCATGGGGGCCGCATTCCCCTATGTGCTGATGCTCCATTCGAAGACTGGATTTCCTACATCCAGCTCAACCTCAAATGGAAAGGAGCCATCAAACGAGCGAGCTATCATGCCCTGGCTTATCACAAAGCAGCCGCCATCCAGAAGCTATGGCAGCAACACTTTGTCACACGCCTCGCTGCTCATGGTGCCACGCTGCCATCCCCCCCTCAAACAGTTCAACATGTCGAACTTTGGCAATGCGAGCTGTGTTCCAAAACCTTTGGCTCCACAAGGGCACTAGCCATGCACTCGGCCAGAGACCATGGCTACCGCAAGCAAGCTCGATACTTCGCCACTGGCGACACATGCCAAGCATGCCTGCAGCTCTTCCATAATCGCACTAGGCTATCTATTCATTATGAAAAGAATCCCAGGTGCTACGATCGAGTCAAAGCATGTTGGCCGCCTATGCCACAAACCATGGTGGAAGCATTGGACGTTGCTGACAAAGAAATAGATATGGCTCTCAGAAGGGAAGGATGGTGGGCGTCAAAAGCAATCTCTCCTGCCTTGAAGCTAGCTGGGCCGCAGCTTCCTCCAGCGCCAAGCCCTGAAGCCGATGCCATGTGGCAAAAAATGCAATCACGACGCCCGAGTGATATGTTAGCCTTTGAAAATCTCCATGGACGCAGGATCACATCCAAGACATCCAGCAACCCTCAGCTGTGGTGGCAAACCAGTGACCTTCCAGCTTTTGTGATGCAGTCCCCTGCTGGAGTGGATCGCGGCAATGGAGAATACTCCATGTCAGGACTGGCTCATGAAATCGCCATGCTTCATGTGAGAGCGTTAGTGGTGGTGCATTTCTTCAGCGGCTTCCGCCGTGATGGAGATATTCATGCTATCATCGACCAGCAGGTCACCAAATCCGGAACTCAAGTTTTTACTCTTTCCGTAGATTTATGCATGCAAAGGCAGCACGCTGACCTTGCTCGGCCTGGAGCTCTTGCGTGGTGGAAAGATCGTGCTGCTGCGGGACAGCTTGTATGCGCAGGAGGCGGGCCGCCTTGTGAAACATTCACTGCGGCCCGTTTTCATGCTTTGCAAGATGGAAGTGGCCCCAGACCGCTTCGTTCAGCCACCGATCCCAACGGCCTCCCTGACCTCACCAGAAAAGAGCAGGCCCAAGTATGGATTGGAGATTGCCTCCTGCGCTTTCTCATCGACATCCTGTCCATCCTTGCAGCCCACGGCATGGCCGGATTTTTAGAGCATCCGCAATTTCCAACCTGGTGCTGCGATCTCCGACCTGCAAGCGTCTGGATGATGGACTCGATCCGGCTTTTGAAAGGCCTCAACTGCGTTACCATCGTGAGTTTTGATCAATGCATCTGCGGCGCGCTTGGAAAAAAACCAACTACCTTGCTTCTCCTGCGACTTCCACAGGTACGATCACAGTTGATGAAGCTTGGGCGCCACGGACGCTGCCATCACTTGCCGAAAGCACACGATGCGCTGATTGGAAAACAGGACAACGGCCTCTATACTTAGCCTGCCCGATGAGTTTCACCCCTATACTGTCCAGAGTTTTGAAGATGCAAACGTCATCCAACCAGATTACCACGGTCTGCGTTGAACCTGGACAGTCAGCATGTCTCCCGAGTGCCATACAGGCGCAGCAGCAGGAATGGAAAATGGGGTAGGGCTCAACCACCAATCAGTAGAATAGTGTAAATGCAATTGGCTATATCCGGTGGTTGAGATTTTTCACGGATTGTAATACTGGATTGGAAACTGATCATTCGAATGCTTAGCTGCGGTTAGCTATTGGGTTTTGGTTGTGATTTCGACCACAGAATTTTGACAGACCACAGGGGCCATACTGACCTTGGCTCGCCAACTCCATGGGGTATCCCGAATTTCGATCCAAAGTCCATGTCACTTCCATGTTTTCAATTCTTTTTGAAACTATTGTTGACCCCTCCCACTTTTGTTAGGAATGGGGCAACCATGAAAGCCAACTAGGTTTGGAAATCCCTTAGATTTCCCTTCTCGAGGCCTTACGAGATCGCTGGCGTCATTTGACAGATCTTGGACGGTAAAAAAGAGAGAGTAAAATGCGATTTCTGAATCTTCATCCACAGAAATCTCTTCTACAATTAACTACAGTTCGTGATTTTTGTTTTCTCTACATGATGAATCATGGGATTTTCAGGGAACCGATTTTCAGACTAACCCGTGAAAGTGCTAGTCAAATTGTTCAGGCATTCATAGGCATCCAGCATACAAAATTTTGAACCCCCTATTTTTAGGTTGTTTTTTTCAAAGAGTGAAAGAGTGAGAGTGTTTGGGAAACATGGCAACCTATTGTGCATGGACGACAAGCATGACAGGTCTGGTAGTCAATTCAATTCACTGGTGTCCGAATGGTGTCTGAAATGGGGACATGGGTCGCCAGCTGGCGGCCTGGTGAAGCAAAATGGCTGGTAGCTATGGATGTTTACGGCCCCCAGATGACTAACCGAGTGCGAATGGCACCTTGGAAGAGACCAACGTTTTGAAAATTCAGTGCATCTTCTCCAAAGACAAAACGATTTTTTCGGACACTCTCCGCCACTGGGAACAAAGTCTTGAGTGGAAATTACTATAAGAAATCGGACATGGGGGTTTCCATAAATGGGGTACCCAATAGCTGGATGGTTTATAAGGGAAAATCCTACTAAAATGGATGATTTGGGGGTACCCATATTTTAGGAAACCCCTACATGGCCAGAAAAAAACTCGTCCACAGCATCTATGAGTGATCTTTACACTGTGAGAATGATTTCGTCCAAAGCTAGAAAGTATGCAAGTCGTAGGAAAGGGGACTGAAACATGATTCCCTGTTGAATTTTGCTAACATTTTTTATGATTACAGTATATTACAGTATTCAGTTTTCTATCTTGTTTTGGAATCACTATAGTCCAGATTCGTGACTTGTTACTGCAGAGATAGGAATGCTGAATCTCTGGGTTTTTCGGCCTCAAACAGCTTCAGAAAAAATGCCAAACAGCAGCTGACGGCCGAAGATTTGTAAGCGCAATGGCACATTCAGTCAATGTTCAGCACACATTGTCCAGTTGCATTTTGCCCATTGCTTTTTCAGATTCTTTGGCTAAGCACTTTCTCCTTAAAGCCCATGTTCACATGACCCAAGTCCGGTCATGGCTCCAAATTGCAGCCCTGGAACTAGTCCACCGTTGTCACCACCTTCGTTTTGGGGTCGTCTGTCACCACCCTTCGTCAAGATTAGCCTCAGTTCCACTGCCCGCCGGCGGGACACCAAAAACCGATGCATGGGCTGCGGAGCCAGTTCCGGTCAGAAATATGCGGTGCTGGCCCCAGGACGGTGTTAAGACGATGGGTTACTGTGAAGAATTGATGATTCATGATATAACTATCTGGGAATATGTGGGCTTGTCAATTGGAATGATCAACAAACATGGGGAGAAAGACTATCAACAATTGGGACTGGGATTCATGGTGGATATAGGAATTATGATGCTACAACCAGTAAAATGTGGGGCCGCAGTGGATTTATGATGGAATGTTGCCTAGCCCAGTCCTTCAGAATTGCAAGCCATATTTTGCACCCGAAGATTTATGACGCACTCAACAAAAACTGATAAACATTGTACATTGGCCACATTGTGATTTCATGTGAAAATGGAGCTGGTGACAGGTGACTGGGGAGAGGCTACTTGGTCGTGGTCATGGTAACCTCTGGTTTTTTTTCAGATTCATCCGGAAGTTTTCATGGCTTCAGAGCAGTTCCCAAAAGGACCATTAGTATCCATTAGTTGTCACCATTGAAACAAGGGGATTTCTCATGTAAAAAGTGGCTTTCTGATGGTCATCATTTGGATATTTCCTAAGTCATTGAGGTACCCCCAAACATCATCCAGTCGTCATGGATGACCAGACCATAGCATTGACACGAACTCGTGACTTGGGGATGCCACATATACTTGGGAAACCACCATCATGTTAGGACTCCATTCGAATGGCAATAGTTCCCCATTTCTTGGATTCTAGGAACCATTCTATGTCAATACCCATGACGGATCCATGGTGCTGGTATATATGCTAACATAAAGGGGGTATATTGATGGGATTCATGTTACCATATATAGCAGCACCATGGATCCTATGTCAATAGTTTTTGCTATCTTTTTGCTGTAACCCATGTTTGTTAGGACGGCCATGTAAAATCGTCGGCCATCTTTGCCCGTCAGAGGTGGATTATAACCGTCTGGAGTGAAGCCTTACTTACCTTCCGGTAATCAAACATGGCTTGCGGGAAAATCCACGAACTAAATAAAGGTTTTAATGGGAAAATATGGGAAAATCATCTATAAATATGGGATCAAATATGGGATGCAACATGGGATACACTCATATTTACTTCGATGATTTTCCCAACAAACTATATAAACCTCCATGAACAGTGGTGGGGATTTTCCAGCCTGCGTGCCATGTTTGGTTTTCCACCAGAGGGTAGATCAGTTGTAACCTTAGTTGATGATGCTCCCGCAGCCGGATCACTCAGCATCAGTTCCCCCGTCCGAAGTGCCAGGCCACTTGCCGCGGATGTAGGAAGATGGGGGAAAAATTGCCAACCAAAACTGGGGTGAAAAAAATATGGGTCATTCCTAATGTCATCAATCAATAAATGTGTTATAAATGAAGCCCATAACAATACTGGATTGATGTTTATTATCGTGTTATAAATGAACATATTATCAATGGCCATAAGCCCACACAGTATTTCAATCACAGTATGTGTAATAAACGTTGCAATCCAAATGTGGGCCGTTTGAAACTGGGCTTAACCGCGAACCTGCACGAAGCCACTTGGATGGTCTACTGAGTGACCGGTTTTCCATGGTGTTCCGGTTCCATACCATGTAGCAGTTTTGAATCAACATGTGAGATTATTACATGATTGGAACCATATTAGATATATAAATGGGTATCAATAAGTCAATAAGAATATATATATATGGATAATAACCATAATAATAGTTTTTTCAATAATCATCAACATATTGATTATGGTATCCATGATGAGTATATCATGGTATCCATGGTACATCATGGTACCATGATTTTGAAAAAAAAAAATTGGATAACTCACAACAGTATGGTATCAATATGTTGAATCATGGTTTTATCATGACTTTTTTTCCAGAGATTGTATACCGCGTTTTTACAACAGTCATTTATTTTAAGGGTGACCCCTTGATGTCCCTTTGATGTCCATCTCAGCTTCAGTCGTGTGTCAGTCAATGCGAGGCCCATGACCGACAACACAATGGATGGATTGCAAGTGAATGCGCGCGTGGTCGCGTTGGGCGAGGACGACCGGGTCACTGTTTGTGCTTCGCAAAGGCCACTGTTGGAGTGATATGTACATATGTCATATGAATATAAAGACAAATGTAAGCATAGAAATGGATATGTCCCTCTCTCTCTCTCTATATGTGATATAGTATGATGTGTTTAATACCAATCATTATATACCGTAATCACAGATGTAAATACCATTATACAACCATTTCATGCCATTTTATTCAACCAAATCCCCTAATTCCCAGATATTGCCTATCATATCCCGCGGTTGGTGAGTTTTTTCCTTTTCATATGATATCTCAGAATAAATACCGCAATTCTGCCAACTGCGTGTAAAACTCCAATTGGAAGATGTTTCAATTACAATTACCCCCTTCTGAGGTAATTACTAGTAGTAATAGTTTCCGAATGATTTCCGGTCTGATTGGTGGTTTGGAACATGGCTTTTATGACTGTCCATTCAGTTGGGAATGTCATCATCCCAACTGACGATTCGTCCATCATTTTTCAGAGGGGTAGAGCTCAACCACCAACCAGAAAATGTTATTAACCATCATTAACCCTCATCATTAACCGTTAAATTAACAGTATATTAACCATTATTAACAGTATATTAACCATTATTAACAGTATATTAGCCAGTATTAACCATATAATAACCATCATTAGCCATATATTAACCGTTAAATTAACAGTATATTAACCATTAGGGCTAGGTCGGTTGTTCAACCACCAACCAGGATCGAGCAATGAGTCCAGTAGAGCCAGTGCAGATGCACTGCACAGGCCGGTGGGAGCCATGGTAGTCATTTTTTTGACGACTGAAGCATCAAAAAAGGACGTTTTAAGCAGTAAAAATCGTGTGTTTTTTAAGAAGTAAAACATGGATAACCCACTCAACATGGAGATTCGAACCAGTAAAATGACGAGTTTAAGTTTAATCTTTTTGATTTTTAAGTTTAGTCATTGAACATGGGCATTGAACCATCAAACATGTGGATCAAACCTTCAAACATTTGGATTTCGCCTCGCCAAAAAAGTGGGGAGATTTCCTATCAAAATATGGGGAGATCATGGGAATCTAATGGTACCCGCTGGTAATGACTAACAGTTCGCGAACTTGAAGCCATGGCCATAGAAATAGTGAGTTTTCCCATTCAAAATGGTGTTGATTTTCCATATAAATCACCATTTTCCCATGGTTTTCCCATGGTTTTCCCATGGTTTTCCCATGGTTTCCCATGGTTTTCCCACGGTTTTCCCATTAAAAATGGTGGATCTTTCCATGGTTTTTGGTATGTTTACCAGGTCGGGTATGATGATATCGTGGATTCACCACCCAACATCAATTCCTCCAGGTAGTTACCCGCTGGTAAACGTTGACATAACGGAAAATTACCATTTTTTCATGGGAAAACCATGGGAAAACCTTGGGAAAATGGTGATTTATATGGAAAGATCCACCATTTTGTAGCTGGGTAAATCAACGAACTTTCTATGACCATTTTCCAGTTCGCGAACTGTTAACGGTGGATTTTTCCACAGCCATTGTTAAATTTTTGAGGCTTTAGCAGGCGATCAACGAAGCACCAATTTTGAGCTCCGGATTTTCTCCAGTGGAGGACCCAATTTTTTTCTGTTCAGAGGCGAAAAAGCCATGAAACATGCCCATACCACGACGCGGCGGCTCACGAAGATTGCGGGTCTTACTTTGTCGCTTGGGACCGGGAAGGACTGGGTGGGACCGGCTGGGACCACCATAAGATGGATGTGTCTGAAGATGGAGGATCAATCAATGGCAATCTGACTGGGGAAAATTGATGATGAAGTGGATATTAGTGGATAATTATTAGTGGATTTCGTGAGATACCATATTTGGCAAACCAAGACTTTGGTGTCCCAGAAAATATGCTACAAACGACTATCAACATTAAGCTCCAGTACAGGATTCCCACAATCGGATAGTTTCCAATGAACCAAGTTTATCATCAGCTTCACTGAAGTCGAAAATCTTCAGGACAACCAACACACAGCTCAAGTTAGGACATAACCATATTGGACCATATGGAGATGCTGAGAAAAGCCTGATCAAAGTTTGGGGATAAACACAGTCCTTTCAGCCATAAGGTATAGCTCCTGAGACCTCACCTAGCCATAAGGTAATCTACCATGGACAACCCGACAACCCCCCCTATGACCTATGAATCTCTGTGAATTCCATGGCACGGCCTCCGTGACGCCGAGGTTTGTGACCATCTTCCTCTTCTCCTTCTTTGGCCACCTGGCCGTAATGGAACAGTGGCATTACCTGATCATTTTTCACATAGCGAACTGGAAGCCATGGCCCAGTCGAAAGTTCGTTGATTTACCCAGCTAGAAAATGGTGGATCTTTCCATAGTTAATGCTAAGTAGCCCTCTGGTAATGACTAACCTATAGCTATTGAAGCCATGGCCCAGTCGACCATGGCCCAGTCGAAATAGTTGATTTACCCAGCTAGAAAATGGTGGATCTTTCCAGTTCGTTATGTAAATGTAGAAACCAGGCCGGGTATTGTCCAAAGGTCATGAAAACGATGCATCCAAAAGTAAGCCAAAAAAGAAAGGCCGCTATAGCCGGTATAGCTTCTTAGCAGACCATCTCATATCTATCATCAAGCTGGGGATATCGGTTTTGCACAGTTTTCCCGCTCACCTGTTGAAGGCAGCTTCAGATCTGTCGGCAGAGCATCGAAAGCGTCTCTTTTTTGCCAAAATATACAACACAAATTCTTTGTTGGGCATATTTTATCTCAACAAATTCCATAAAAGCATATGAAATTTTGGAGGGCGGGGGAAGTGGTGTGACACGATGCCCTTTTGGGAAGCCTATAGAGGGCCCAGTGGGTATTTGATGGATGTTTGGGAACTGTTGTTCAACCTAGCAACCAGTGGGAAAAGGACAATTGACTTATTTGTAATATATAACATCTTCTAGTGTTTTGAATGTATGAAAAATATTCCCCACCAGCAACCATTCTCCACGGGAGGTCCAAGCCTTGGACCATTCTAGCCTTGTCACATCTATCAACCATTGAAAACAACTGCATGATGCTTATCCCACAGCCGTTTTCTATCATTTTCTATCACTGCAAAGTAGGTTGTATCACTGCAAGGAGCCCAATCTCCGCTTTAAATCGCTTCGTTGGTCGTTCCGTTGGTCGTTCCGTTGGCCTCTCAAGGTTGGCCCAGCAATGTGATTGAGGATGAGACCGTGCATAGACAGACACTTGGCAAAAATCATTCGACCAACTGAGCCATGAGAGTGAGTTATACCTCTGTTGATAGGTTTATTGTTGGGGATGATCATGGGAATTAAGCTAAGAGGTTTACTGGGGATTATTAGCCAAACCGGTTGTGATAACTTATTGGGGATTAGAATGATGGGGATTAATCTAGCTGGCTTGTTGGTGATTATTCACCTAACTGGTTATGATAACCACTAAAATTGGGGTTATTCACCTAGATGATTTATTGCTGATTACGAACTAACCCATAATTAATAGGAATACTTGCCAACCAACCAGCATAGATGGAAAGTGAGCCATGGGGACATGGGAATGGGTCAAAACCTCCAATCATCGTGCCGTTTATTTCTGTGGGATGAATTTCACAGTTCGTGACGTGGAACATCCACCACTTCTAGAAAATCATCATTCATAGTTGATTTACCGAACTTAAAAAATGGTGGATTTTTCTATATAAATCACCATTTTCCCATGGTTTTCCCATCATTTTCCCATTCAAAAATGGTGGATTTTCCAGTTCGCGAACTGTTAAATCACCGGAGGGTAGTGGTGGTGGTTGTTAGTTCAGCTTGATGAACGATGAACTCCAGGTACAACAAATTTATCTACTGTACATAAACCATAGTATTCATGGGGTGAACATAAACCATAGTGAAATGAAATGTTTCTATAACATATCTATGGGCCTATGGGTTTAAAATGAGTAACTATAACATATATCTATCCCATGACGGATCCATGGTGCTGGTAGATTAATGCTAACATAAAGGGGGTATATTGATGGGATCCATGTTACTATATATAGCAGCACCATGGATCCGTCATGGGATATATGTTTTGATGATTTTGATGTGATACATTTCTGTTTTGGTGTTCAGAATTGATACCTTCTTTGGATTTCTGAAAGGCATTTTTTATAAGACGAGGACCGTTTTTTCGAGAACTGAGGATTCTGGCCGCCCTCTTCCTGACTGGTATCATCCTAGTGGCTTTAGAGGCGCTGGCAGCTGCTGGCAGCTGCTGGCAGCTGGCGTTGGTTTTGTTTGATGATTTTGATGACACCAAAAGCGAAGTATGTCTACTTACCAAATGGATTGGTGTTATGGCCATATTTACTGTACTCTACTTGTAAGATAGGTGTCAAAAAAATGGACTTCAAAATTGGGCTGAATGGAGGCTGTAGCTGTTTGAGATGGGATCTAACATAGTCAAACAATCTGTCAAACATCATCCGCAAGTCACCCATGGTTCCATTCCTGTCCTGGGGTTTCTCCAGGGTTCACCCGTGGGTGAAGCAACCCCTGAAACAGAAAAAACACGGCCGGCTACGGCACCTGTGGGACCATCGAACAAAAATAAGCTGTCCGTGATATTGCCATTTTTTTTAAACCACGATATTGGCATTTTATTGATAGAATATGTCTAGATGTGGTTGGTTTCATACTGCACTTTCAAGATGGTCACATTCTTATTCCAATATAGTTCTACATCCCAAGATATTGTTTCTCCAATATTTCTATAGTTCTACCATCAGATTTGGAGACTTTGAGCTGGTTTCATCCCCAAAATCATCCAAAATCAGCCCATCCTCTACCAGCCATCAGCCCATCCTCCATGCCACCGCGCCACCGAAAGGATGTGGTACGACTCGACAAGTCGGCGATCATGCTCGTGTTGGCCTCCGTGCGCCTCGGTTGACGCAACGAACGAAACGGAACGGGCTGACACGTTTTGCTGACCGTCGCTGCTGGGTGAATGTCTGCAGGTTGTTTTGGAAAATGGGCGAAAATTGTACATATATATAATATAATATATATATATATTATATAATATATATATATATAGTTGTTTCCATCATTTTTTCCATGTGGCTAATTATTGTACAGTTCCAGTTGTGCTGAGGTTTCGATTCAGAATTAGCCCTAAAATTTTCAATTCTTGACGGTAAGTAACTCACTTATGTATAGCTGGTTTAAAACACATCTTGATGGTCAAATGGTCAACAGAAAAACCCATCATTTTTCCCCATGTTTTTTCCCAATATCGGCTGACTATTTCGTGGTGCTTTAGTCCCATGCCCAGGATGTGGACGTACCATGCAGCCAGCTGTCATCCAACCCGTTCCGTCGAGGGACACGAGGAGTTCGCTTCAGAGTTGGGCAAGGCCCGGCGAAACGGCGCGCCTGGAAGTTGACGAAAAAAGTGACGTAAGATACCAAAGAGTGGGGCCCCCAAAACGTTATAAACCCACCTACCCTCTGGTAATTTAACATAGCTATTGAAAATGGCTATTTATAGTGGATTTTCCCATGAAACATGGTGATTTTCCATAGTTTTTTGTATGTTTACCAGAGGGTATATCATAGCCCATAGGATCCATGGTGCTGGTATATACTGTATATATATATATATATATATACTAACATGAATGGGGTATATTGATGGGATCCATGTTACCATATATAGCAGCACCATGGATCCGTCATGGGATAGATACCCTCTGGTAATTTAACATAGCTATGGAAAATCACTGAAAATCACCATTTTTAATGGGTAAATCCACTATAAATGGCAATTTTCAATAGCTATGTTAGTTTACCAGAGGGTATATGTTATGTTACTCATTTTAAACCCATAGATATGTTATAGAAACATTTCATTTCACTATGGTTTGTGTTCACCCCATGAATACTATATAGATATATCTACCCATAAACCATAGTGAAATTGAAGTTATTGGCACCAACTTAGCTAACGAACTGGGGCACCACATTGTAGGTACCTTGGTGGCCAACTACGGATGGTAAGTCATAAACCTAGTTATTCTAGAGGGATAAGTAGGGTTCGTGCACCTCCACAAGGGTTATAACCTACAAAAACTGGAATGAGCCACCAGGTACTGTAGTTAATCACTATATAAATGGGAATAAACCAACAGAAAATGATACTAAATATAATACCATGAAACCTTTCTGTAGTTAATCACTAAAATTTTATGTAGAAAATTGTTAACCAACAGAAAGGTATCTTATATCATGTTATAGCTCATTTTCATCCAGTTGGTTAATCACTAAACATGAGGAACATATGCATGCGAATGGGATATCAGCAACAAAGCAGAGGGTGATTGCCAGTCTAACAGATGGTCGATGGGATACAGGCCGGCATATTTCATAGGGAATTTTCGTAGGATGATGTAACCATCACCATGATAATCTTCCATCATTTGGGGGTGGAAACTGTCTCACTATGGGCTAGTGGAACAAGTTTTCATTTTGTTCGGGCTCTTGAAGCAAATTGCAATACATATTCTTTGGAGAAATTGCCCATTCAAATCCATCAAAATCTACATTTTTAGGCTATATTTTAGGGCATCTAAAGTGATTTTCCCATGATTTTCCCATTCAAATCCATCAAAATCTAGGGCATTTTTAGGGCATCTAAAGTGATTTCCCAGGATTTTTTTTAGGGCATCTGGTGATTTTCCTATATGTTTACCATGATTTTCTCCACTTTTCCAGCTCCAGAGACCTCCCCGTTGCGCCGTCGAACCGTGGTCGTTTCGCCCATGGGCCGCCGCCGAAGCCCCCAGCGCCCGGAGCGCCGCGCGGCCACGGGCTCTGTGCGCAGCGCCGTGCGCAGCGCGGTGCGGAGCGTGGCGGCGGTCTTCGACCCCGGGGACGCCGAGGAGGACGCGACGTGGAGACGTGGAGACCTGTTGGGATGGGAAATTCTCGAAAAAATGGAGGTTTTATGAGGTTTTCATGGGGAAAATCATGGGATTTGATGGAAAATCATGGGGAAAATCATGGAACATTTACCGAAAAACATGGAGGTTTGAATGGATTTGATGGATGATTTCATGGGATTTCATGGGATTTCATGGAATTCCATGGTGGTTTTAAGCCGTGAAAAATTGGGATTTCAGCTGTGAACAATGGGATTTTGTGAAACTCTGGGATTTGATCAGTGAAAATGGGAATTCACCAATGGGAGTATGGTGCCTCCCAGTTACAATCAGTTGGTTTACTGAGTAGATAAAAGCTTCTTGATCCCCATTTATGAGTAGAAAATGGCTGAGTTTTATCATTTGTTGGTTATGGGATGTTATGGGATCTCGAAGCTGTGGTAGAAATTGGATATCCCCAAATGGTCTTGCTCAGCCATTCTGGTTGAGGTTTCACCAGAAAAGAACCACTTTCAACATTTTACCCTAAAAATTCATTTTAAGTTAGAGACAATCAACATCAATCAACTGCCCCAAAAATTATCTTTCTGTTTTCGTTCAATTACCACCCCCTCAACGGCAGCCACCTCCGCAGGAGCTGAACGAGCTGCGTAAGCAGCTGCAAGATGCTTTGGAGTCGCGAAGCACGGCCATCGTGCAGCAACTGGGCCGGGTTGGAGCGACACGTCTTCCTTTTTTTGGGATGGGGATTGAGTAACACCTATCAGGATACAGTATATCCATAGAATAGGTTTTAATAGGTTTTAGACAACCATATAATAATACTGATAATAACGATAATTATACATATATATATATATATATAGATACACAATGCAGTATATAAGTGTAGCTTTGGGTTTCTGTACTTGGAATTGGACGATCTTTCCACAAAACGCCAAGGAAGTTTTTTCAATCCCAAAGTGGCCAGGATTCCCATAGGAATTCCATCGGAATTCCATCGTCCTGATCGATCGTCCTGGGGATGCCAATATTTTTAGGGGTTTTCCCAACAAGACGATCATCGTTATTTCATATATGTCATGGTTCCAACTGTTCTTTGCACATTGACATCAGATATTTCGGCCACAGATGAGCTTGTTTGAACCTAGAGTGACCCAAACTTTGATGGTTATTCCAGTTATTCATCATTTTCCCCTACAAATTGCCATGTTGAGGCATCATCCCACTCTTGCATTTGCCATTTTTGGCTGTTTCAATCATGTTTTAAGTCCACATTTCCGAAGTTTCCGAAGTGCTTGCGTTCCATTTGTGCTGGAGAAACCTGCCATTTGTTGGGGCCCTTGTAACCCGTTCGAGGCATTACAAGGACATCGCGCAGCCGGATGTGAACGAAAAGGTCTACGACGAGATCACGAAGATCTCCACGGCGTTGAAGCAGTTGAAGGTCGGTGGAAGTTTCCTTAAATGGGGGGTACCTCAATAGCTGGATGGTAATGGAACATCCCAATCTAAAATGGATGAGAACTGGGGGTAGCCCTATGTTAGGAAACCTCTAGACTCTACATGGGGATTGGATGGCATCCAAAATAGGGATAGTAGCCTCCGGTAGTCAGGCGTAGCTGGCTGCGAAATCGCCGAACTAAATGGTGAGCACAGCCAGTTGTGCCATGGTCAAAACATGGTATATGGTAGTCATCCATTCCATAATGGGAATCCAAACATCATGGGTACAAATCTCTGGGACAATGGATTGACGACCATTACCCGATACGGATAGCCTCTGGTAAACTAACATAGCTATGGAAATTCACCATGTTTGAGTTCGGTAAATCAACTCCAAAGGGCAATTTTGAATGGCTGCGTCAAATTACCGGAGGGTATACATATTCAAATTTAAATCCCCATGAAAATGGATTGATGACTATTCCCTATCATGGATATATATATATATATACAATGGATTGGTTGGAAAATCTTAACCCATGGCGTTTTTCCAATTTTCCCTTAAACCAATCCATTGACACACATATATATATATATATATATACATACATACATACATACATACATACATACAATCCATCTAACTTGACCAAGGTACATGTGGGGTTTCTAATGACGACCCCCCACAGAGCGACCGGCCGACTTCGTGAGGACGCAGAGCTGCATCGTGGCAAGCTCTTGCGACAGCTGCGGTTGGACCTAGAGACCTGACAGAAGTTGGAGATTCCCAAGATTTTTTTTGGGGGATACCCTCTGGTGAACTAACATAGCAATGGAAAGATCCACCATTTTTCATGGGAAAATCCACTATTTCGACTGGGCCATTTTCCATTGCTATGTTAGTTCACCTTTGGGATCTGTTGAATTCAATGATTCAGAAAAAATGGGATGTAAATCATCAACATCTTTTGGATTTTGGGAGACTTGTTGGCTTTTGATTTTTGGGATTCTCCCTAAAAATCATCATGAAAAAAACACCATTCTCAGTCATGCAAGGTTTATGGCATTGTGTTTACATGGGTTTACCATGGTAAACACCACATTACTAAAGTTTGATCACCACAGATCTACCCTTTGGCAATTTAACATAGCTATGGACGCCTTTATAGATGATATATGAATCTTTACCCTCTGGTAAACATACAAACAACTACGGAAAGATCCACCATTTTCAATGGGTAAATCCATTATTTCTATGGTCATTTTCAATAGCTATGTCAAATTACCAGAGGGTATGAGCATTTACCTAAAGTATGGGGATACTTTGGGTTTAAATGTTCATCAACCGCCGAGTTACAACCATTATTGGGAGAAAATCTCACGCCTCAGGTGTCATCAAGCAATGGCAGGCTACAGGGAAATCCCCGAACTAACGGGCATCCATATCGATAGCATTCTATAGATTTCTATAGCATATATATGCATATATATATATATATATACATACATACATATATATATATATAATCCCATCACCCTAATATTAAGCACCCCATACATGGTCCCAACTATGTGGAATTTCCCTACTAAATGGGCGATTTCCCAGCAAACCATGTTATAACAAGCGAGCTATTTCATGGGGGTTTTAACAATCAAACAGAGTGCCATGGTCATAAGTTGGAGTAAATTAGATTAAGGCATTAACTGGATTTAATTGATGGATGGTCATCAATACACTTTCGAACAAACAACAACAACAACAACAACAACAACAACAACAACAACAACAGCAACAGCAACAGCAACAGCAACAACAACAACAACAACAAAACAACACACATATACATTTAAGGATTCTTATTATGGGACTGATGACCAGACCACATATACCAGTTTTTGACCATGGCAATATTGGGATATCATCCAGAAACTATGTTGCGATGTAGAAATTTTAGAATGACACTATGTTTGATGTGGCTATAGATTTCAAGTGGTTAAACTATCCACAATGGCCCAAAAGAATTAAAACAATGACACATGAACCTGTACATCAATGTACATCAACTCGTTAAATGCACATGCCAAACATACTGTCTTCTTCTTGGAAACGGTGACATTTTGGGCACATATTGACCCAAGATGATCCGAGTACAGAAAAATTCATCCGGCGACAGATTGGTAAAAGTTTAACCCATCGAACCATACATCCCAGTCTTAAAAAATCCATAAAAATCCCAATTTTCTTGTGGCCAAATCCCTCTTTTCGTTGCTTCAATCTGCGTTGGTCAAGTCGCTGCAATCCCAAGGAGAGCCTCGCTGCCGACCTCCGTCGCCAGCTGACGCTCTCTGCGCTTTCCACCGCGCCTTCCGCGGCTTCGGCGCCTGCTGCACCGGCAGCGAAGGCGAAGGCGAAGGGCCGAAGGAATGCGAAGGTCAACGAGGCGATGGAAGTTTGGGAAGTCTCCAGTTGGGGATCTATATGGAATATTCTATATAATAGGATATCATGGGAATACTTTAATGGTCTCAGCTACTTGGTATTTATACAATGTTATTATATTGGCACTATTATAATGCATATTGTACTGGTTGGTGGTTTGGAACATGAATTTTATTTTTTCCATTCAGTTGGGAATTTCATCATCCCAACTGACGAACTCATATTTTTCAGAGGGGTTCAAACCACCAACCAGATGGGAATATCATGGGAATACTTCAATGGATTTATTTATAGTTGGGAAGTCCCACAGCAGGAAGGACCCCCCTCAACCGCAATTTTCTACCCCGAACATGGCTGGGAAATCGCCGAAGTGAATGGCGGACTTTTCATTGCCATGTTTGATTGCTGGAGGGTATCGAATATAAACTGGTTGTTTATGTTACCCCATCCAACTACAAAGCTACAAATCTAATCCCAGTTGGATAGAAGTCATACATCCACAGAAACCTGTTTAGGGGGTTCCCTTTCTGTGGTGGTATAGACATTTAGTGGATTGGGAAGAATGAGGATGCAATATGATATAATGGAGATCTCTCGGACTGGCATTGGCTTATCTACTGAACAAACCCTAAAAATGGTTGCCATAATAGCTCTACCTCGTTCGCCATTGATCATTTTTTTGGGAATACCGTTAATTATACCCCAATTGTTTCATGACAGGAATCGGCTTCCCAACAAGGGATATCAGGTCATTTTAATGGTTATTGGTCGAAACCGATTAGCCAAGAGGCATTGGTTGACATCGACAGAGTTCCCGCGGCATCGTTCGCCAGGCACCAAAGGCTCTCCCAACAACTCAGAAGCGCCGGACGCGCACACTCCGCGATTGATGCGATGCAACGGTTGGGGTTGGGCGATGGTAGTGGTGTCACTAGTGACACTAGTGGAGTCGTTCTCGACTCCAGGATGATTTTTCACATCTGAGTCCGTGATGATCCAAAGCGGCAAAAAGAAATTGAAGATGTGTTCAAGGTTGGCTGCTTTGAGTTGTTGATTCAAAGTGAAAAAAATGGGAACGGCTGTTGTGGTGAGACCTTCAAAGCGAACATGCCTTTGCAAGGAATGGAGTTTGGATGACTGGCATCTGCCATGAACGATTTTCATGGGTTCATAACATTCAAGAGGAAGTCATCACTGCAGTGTCAGATACGTTTGATTGGATTTTAAAGGTTAATGACTGAACTGCAGGGATGGGTTTATTTCAAACTATTTCAAACACCAAATTAAAATAGATCTCTTTTGGCTCATTGTACTTTTCACATTTTTTCACAATGGCAGATGCGGCTTGTCCGACAGTAAATCCCTTCTCTTTGGTGAAGGAAAGGCAGTGTGGCAGATGACAGCGCAGCATGAATGGCAGTGGCATCCCACTCAGTGTGAACATCGGATGGGTCGAAATTGAGGTACTGGAAAATACGAAGAACAAACTTGGTCCGCTGTGGTACATCATGGTACAGCATTCTATTTCTGGAGGGTTGATCAAACTTGCACTTCCAATGATGTACTTAGACTTATTTACTCCAAGTTTTCTGGCGATTCTTTTGGTGCTGGAGTCCTTGCTGTATTTTGATGGATATTTTGATGGATATAACAAGCCTTGTTCCCATCATTGCGCAGTTGGCTGGTTGGGCTGGTTGAATTTTTACATCGGGAACTGACGACGTAACTTACATCAGGAACTACAAGTGCAGTGGAATCACCTTGTGTGCTGCGCTGGGCAATTGCTGGCTGACTTCGAAGTTTTTCTGATGGTACCCTCTGGTAAAACGTTTACATAACTATGGAAAATCACCATGTTTAATGGGAAAATCCACTAGAAATGTTCATTTTCAATTTCAATAGCTATGTTAAATTACCAGAGGGTATTGGTTGGGATTTGACACTGTGAAATTGAACCGACTGTGAATGATCAGTTTTTCGCACTGTTCTGCTTTTTCGCACAGTTTCGAGACACTAATTCTGCATTGGCCACACCATATTGAACACTTCTTGACCTGCAAGTGTTCATGTTTCCGTTTACTTTTTCCTTCTAAAATTCGATAAAAACTCTCCAATTGTCATGTGGCACTTTTGGCCAAAGAACTGTATGATCCCCTCAGAAAGCAACTAATGGTGGTAAAACAATCATAAAACATCCCCAATTTCACCATAAATAGGTGGTATATAGTATAAACCATTCCCAAATGGGTGGTTTATTATTGTTTTTCCCACATTAATTACAGCACAACTTTTTAGGGTCGACTTGTGCTTTCGAGAGGAAAAGCTTTGCAAGTCCCGGCAAATGTCGCAATTTGGCCCCTGTAAACATCACGACTCCTGCGGGGTTGGAGTGTGCAGTGCCTGTGGCCCACTCAGCCAGTTGGCAAAGCCAGATATGTTTGAAACATGAAATTGTCATGCGACTGACAGATATTTAGCAACCAACAGCCTGGAAAATGATATACCATCTGGTAATTCGACACATAGCTATAGGACACATCATCAAAATCTTCATCTTTCATAGGTAAATCATGGAATCAAATGGGCCAGATGTGGGGCACCGGCCATCTACGGTTGACTGGGCTGATCTAGGCAAGACATCTTTCTGGTCCGGCGTTCACAAGAGGCGCTACAGTGACATAGCATGGCGCTGCATGGTGAAAAAGATGCGGGGCGAAGTCAGTAGATGGATGTTTTTTGGACAAATCTTAACCAGAAAACATTGTTTTTCTCACCAAATATTAACCAGAAAACATGGTTTTTCTCACCAAATATCCACCAATCATACAGATATGAATTATATCCACCATCAATTTCTACCACTACACCGATTCGCTTTCGGCATAGAACTTCTCATCCTCCTAACTTCAGTTGGATCATTTTGTGGTTTCTGTTTGTTATATATTGTTATGAAATCATCATCATCATCATCATCATCATCATCCTCCTCATCATCATCATCATCATCCTCATAATCATCATCATCATCATCATCATCCTCATCATCATCATCATCGTCATCATCATCATCATCGTCATCATCATCATCAGCATCATCATCATCATCAGCATCAGCATCATCATCATCATCATCATCATCGTCATCATCATCATTGTTAAATAGCATTATATAGCATCACTGTTACTGTTACTGTCGTTGTTGTCGTTGGCTCCGCAAAAGAGCACTGCAGCACTGCAGGGCTTGGAGGATGTGGGGAAGGTGATCCTGTTCCTTCTCCCAGCGATGTGCCTAGTCGAGTCCATTGACCACATGACCCTTGGCTTCCCGCTGGTCGCAGATGGCTTAGAAAACTATAGTTACTATAAGCAGCTATTAAACTATGTAACTATGGATGATCCATGAACTATTTACTTATAACTATTTGGATTTCTCTGAAAATGTTGAGTTAATCTTCCCAATGAAATAGCCATTTAAAAACGGGATAATGATCAGCAAAACCATTGGGAAAATGGGGTACACGACATTTTCAGACAAACCCGTATAGCAATCACCAGCTGGTCCTAGGGTCCTAGGCGAAGTGGAAGCCATGGCCTATGCTGTGGTGAGAAATGTTTCATGATGATTTGCCGAAGTCAAAAATGGTGATTTGCCATCGCTACCAAAATACAACCCCAAAATGTCACATAAAGCTTGAACAATAGAACCAGATACCATATAGATTATTTTACTCATGCCAGTAGTGAGTGAATATTTTGCACTTGCTTAGCAAATGAATCTTCACCAGTTCGTACTAAACTCATCTAACATTAACATCTAGTAGTGTTTACCTTTACCATAATATTAAGATTGAATATAACACACCAGAAATGGGTTCCATGTCAAATTTATAGGTGTTTACTAGGTGACTATATCGAAGTTGGACTTATATGGACGCTATAAGGTCGATGGCAGTGGTCGAGACAGGGTTGTCGACACAGGAAAGCTGGAGAACTTTACTTAGCCCAAATGCTCCATGGTGCTGGAATATTTACCAACATTTGCCCTTGTCCAAAATCACCCAGTTTTGTAGGTATAAATATACCATACATGGAGCATATGGGTATTTACATAGCCTGGACTCCCATTGAGAAGTTTTCTGGATGACGATTCATTTGACACAATGCTATCAAGCTTGTGGAGTTGAATGCGGGCAGATTTGGTGGGGACGGCTTCAGGAGTCAACATTCACCCCGGCCTTAAGGCCTCAAACCCACTGAAATCAATTCAAGGGTCATATTTTGATATATTTTGAGGATAAACATGTATTGACCCTCCAATTTCAACTCTGATTTTCCCATTTTGTTTGAGTCGTAACTATTCGTAACCCTCCAGTAACCGAAGAATTTTGATCCCTGAATTTCAGCATCGTGCTTTCCCCTGGCGCTGAGGAAAGGCTTTGCCGTGGTCACTCGTTTTATCGTTCGCTGTACCAAGGAGAAGGCGAAGACGGTTTGTCGTTAGGGACCAGTTGAGCCTTGTTGATGACGTGATATGACAGGGATATGATAGGGATACAATTCAGTTAGGATGTTTTTCGGATATACCATGCATAGGATAGGATTTATAAGCAGGGATATCATAACAGGAGTATAAACCGTATATAGGATATATGTTTTAAGAAAGTGTTACAATTAACCTAACCATCAGACAGGGGGACAAAGTATATCCTCTGATAGAATGGGATATACGAATGGCAGTGGAACCCTACCATAAAGCCAATTGTAGATTGTTTTCCCTCAAAAACATTCATTTATAGATAATTGAATTTCCATTGACATATAAACCTAAAAACAACACCATAAAAATGTCAAGAAAACAAACACCTAAAATTGAGTGTGAATGGTACGTAAACCTACAAAAACCATGACATCAAAACCACCTCGAGGGAACACCACCTAAGACTTCCCCTACAAAAGCCTACTGAAACCTATAAACATCACCTGGTTGGTGGTTTGGAACATTTTTTTTTCCATACATTGGGAATGTCATCATCCCAACTGACTTTCACTCCATCATTTTTCAGAGGGGTAGGTCAACCACCAACCAGCTGTTCTTGTTGCTATCACCAGGTTTTGCCACTCAGTTTCCCCAGTTCCATCCTGCTCCGCTCAGCCTGGTCGTTTGATGCCCATCGTTTGCGTGTTGGCCTTCTTCCTTAGCTCGGCCCCGTGGTTTTGATCCGGAAAAACCATGTTTTTTGTTGGGGCCGAACCTGGGGGTTTTCTTGTGATTTTTGAATATTTTTGGGGTGAACCCATGATGAAATCAACTCCATTGGTTGAGGTAAACAAAATGTTACCTTTTATGGGGATAACCATGGTATAACTGTATATAACCATGGTGAAATCAACATCAGAATGTTGGGATATGGCTCCCCTATAACTATGCGTGTAGAATGTTATATACCGACTTGATGTTTTGGAGGGAAGTAAAAAAAAAAGAACGTGGATAGAACGTGGCTTGGGGATATTACATTTTGATTATCTTCATGTTGTTCTATGTTGTTACCAATAAATGATTATATAGATACGGGGATTCAACAAGCACAAGTTAAAAGGGGGCTTCATCAACAAACATGGGATTCAATTCCACCAACAATGGTAGGAAACAAAACGGTAGCCCACCAAAAATGGAGGTTGAATGCAACTAAACGGGGCGAGACTTGAAGACTATTTTGATTTCATAGTTCCTTTCGAAAGGAGGAATCTATAAGCATAATATAAGGGAATTCACGGAATTCTCATTCCAAGATAGTGCAGCCACGGAGAATGAACAAAACTACAGTGAAACTGGTGAGAACATCAAGGAAGAACTCTTGTTGGGTGGTTTCAACCATGTTCAAACTATGTTTGATGGTTCAATTCTGTAATTCGGGATGGGTTACCTTAGGGTAAACTAACAGTTCGATGTGGACAATCACCATGTTATAATATAGCTAATCATCATTTTTTTCCATGGCTTCAACATCGAGTCAAGTTGACCGGGCAGCTCCCAGGTGATCGACAATCTCACAGCAACCATTGTGTGCATCAAGATTTTGCAGAGAGTGGTTCCTCACAATCAGGCGCTGAGAGTTGACGGGCCACGCATGCCCATTTTGGATCGGTCCTTGAATGGGAGAGATCCTGAGTTGGAATATGGTTTTGTTGGGGGCCTAAAAGTCTCAAAATCTGTCAAATCTGCAAATTTCTCAGGCGATGTTCAGATTGAAATGCAGGGATCAAGCAAAACCTCGATGAAGACTCCTCATCATTTTCTGTATTTTTCCACCTTTTGACTATGTAATTCGTAAAAAGTGTTGGTGATGTGTCGAGTGAATGACAGATGATTTTCGCTTAAGATTCACCAGCCTCACGTTTCCGCTGGTGCAATCGGTAATGACAAACATAGCGAAAATCACCATTTTAATAGGTAAACCCTATTTCTATGGGCCATGGCCTCCATAGCAAACTGTTAGTTTACCGGTACTTCTGTAGGGTTCCGTTTGTTGTCCACCATTTTTTCCCATTGAAAAGATGTCTTTTAGTGCGAATCTGTCTGAATGCATTGGTTAAATCATTTGAAATCCCCAGATGTTGGTGTTGGTAGGTTACTGTAACTATATACAGTAACATCTTATAAGATACCCTAGAGAACCGTGGTCTTGTCACATCATTTTATAACATAGTACATAAATGGTGATTAAACTGGTACACGATTTATAACATGTTACATATCATTTTATAAGATCAATAATAATGGATTCATTTTTCCACCATTATATTCTCAATATCATTGATGGGACCCAACAAGAAACACCCCCAAAATCACCATTCTCATGGGCGGTATAAACCATCCCCAAATGGTAGGGTCACGGGATCGGGTTCCCCCCATTAGCCATTCTTCAATCCCCATCTTTCTAAATCTGTTTGCCAAATATGGCATATGGTTCAATTCTACCCAATCTCGCTTAAAATGTGGTAGAGTATATGGTTTGGTATATGATAAACCACTATATCATTGCACCATATTATTACTAAACCCCTATATTCACCCATACTCCAACCATAATATGGTACTAAAAACTATAGTACACTAACCTGGTAGGGGTAGATAATGAGCACCCATATTATTACAATTATTATGATATAACTAGTACCAACCATATTATATGTTTTTAAAACATTAAAAATGGTTTCATTTAATATGGTCTACCATATACCATATATTATGTACTAATAACCATATAATTAATTAATTAATTATTATAACCATACACCATATAATACTAACGGTTATGATATAGTTATTATAACCTACTAATTATCTTTCCCAGGATTATACTATTTAGCATTATAACATACTAATGGTTACTAGTACAGTATTATACTTCTCCATATAACTAAATAACCACTAATTAATAGGTTATGATGTTATTAATACTAATATATTATTAATTAAATATCTAAGACCATATAATTTAATTCTCCATATAAGTTAATTAACCATAGATCAGTGATTATTATAACCATATACCATATAAATCCATATAATACTAAGGGTTATTACTGTAGTGATTATAACCTACCAAAAAACACTTTCCCAGGAATATACTATTTTAGCATTGTAACCATTTTTTTTGTTTAATTATGGTTGATTATGGAGAATTATATTTAGTTATTATAGTTATTATAGTTATTATATCCTACATTATACCATGTAATTCTGCCATAATTCTCCATATAAGCTAATCAACCATATAATTAATTAACTATTTCAACCATATACCATATAATACTAATGGTTATTATTGATAGTTATTATAACCTACTGATTATCTTTCCCAGGATTATATCCTACATTTTACCATATAATTCTACCATACTTTTCCATATAACCAGGTTACCATAGAATATGATAATTCTACCACAATTATCCATATAATTTTCAAAAACCAGGCATTATGAACCATATGAATTCCCCAAACAAAAATCTACACCCATGAATTCTATGAAGTCACCAGGTGACCATCCTCCAGCCGCGAACCCGGGGATTCAGCCGAAACCCGAAACCCGCCAGGACTGGCGCCACTCCTGCGGTGGTCTCGTGGTGGTGGCCGCCAACGCGGGTGGAGCCTGGAGTCCGTGCCGTGTCTGAAAAAATGGGGCGTTGGCCATGGAAATTTGGGGCATTTTCCATGGGAAACTTGGGAAAATCTAGGGAAAATCCATGGAAAATTGGTAAAATTTGGGGAAAATCTATGGAAGTTTCATGAAATCCATGGAAAACATCAGAATATGAGAAAATCCATGGAAAAAATGGGACATGAAAACATCAGAATATGAGAAAATCCATGGAAAAATTGGGACATGTCCATCAGAATATGGACACATCCATGAACAAATTGGAAATTTTCATCAGAAAATTATGGAAACATTGTGGAAGTGAATGGGATTTGCCGCCGATTTTGGTGGAGTTTTCCAATAATTTCACAGGATAAATCATCGAACGTTCGATGGGCCATGGCTTCCAGTTCGCGAACTGTTCAATCACCAGAGGATAACGATCCAAATTTGAGGTGATTTGACCTATTTGACCATAGTAAGAATCGGTTAGTTCACCCCAGTTTTTTTTGTGGATCAAGTCAATTTATCCCACTTATGACCATCTTAGTAAGTGAGATGAGCCACCAATGATCCCAATGATCAAATGGGTGTTTTTTCAGCAGTCACCTGTGTTGCTATCACCAAGAGTTACTATAGATATGGCCAGATATGGCCAGTTGGGGCCCCAGAAACCAGTCATAACTGGTTAAAAATGAGGTTGTCATTCCAGAAAGGGTGGTTTTTTACCTGACTTATAATCTTCTTCAGTCCCCCAAAAGTTGCGAAAAAAAACCGAATGAACATCTTGAGGCTGGGGTGTTGTGGAGACCCCAGTTTTACGGCGAAAAATCCTGCTGTAGCAATGGTTGGTGCTTGCTCTTCACATGCAAAGTGTACAAGGTGGGGCCCCCCAGTTATAAGATGGTTTATAAACCCCATTAACTATAGTTATAGGATCCTCCTGGGAATTTAGCCTAAAGAGTTCAGGACATGATGTCTTTAAAAAACTGTATTTTTTAAGGGACATACCTGGCCGGCAAAAAAAAACAGTTTCTATTTTTTAAGGAAATCCTGTTGTTTAACGGTCTCCTATTCTTTAAAACTTTAAGAGGCCTTCCTAGGAAGATTCTAGGAACTTGTTTTTTTGGATTTTTTTGGTATGTTCATCAATGCTTTTGGGATTGTGTGTCAAATGAAAACCAGCTTGCCTGCCGCTTGAACAGATGCTCACAAGCAGAAGACGTGAAGGTGAGATGGAAGATGAAAACGTGATGAGAGATTGCATGTAAATGATCCCCCTTGGAATTTCCACTTTAAAAATGCAACAACCCGGGTTGTCGCAAAAAACGTTGTTTTTTATTGCAAAAACAGATGATTTTTCCACATGGCTAACCCGGAGTCCCCATTTTTTGCAAAGGTTTCCTAGGTCATGATTTTTTAGAGAGAGCATTTTGAGGGGCAATAGACAAGCTCTTTGAATTTTTGCGGTTTGCTAAAACTGCTGTTGTGCGCTGGCCATCGTTTGTATCGCAGATGAGCCAAACAAGTTTCAACATTGACAACACATTTCAACTGATTTTTCAACAAGGACATTCTTCAGGGACGCCATACTATTGCACATTTATGAGCGTTTGAAAACAGAGCGTTTGAAAATCATATGGTGTTATCCCTCTTGGAATTTTCCCTGGCTAAAACATAAGTCAACCCGGGTTATCAGTTCCCCCTTGATTCTTTAGAGATTTAATTTGGAACCCTAAGTTGAGTTTGTCAATGTTTAAAGTGCTGGCCAAAACATGGCTCAATAAACGCAATCAAACTGAAACTAGATATGATAAAAGCAGCAAATTGCATATATTGATTTAAACAAATAAATATGTTTATCGTTTTGCAGGGTATAGCTCTAAAGAATCAGACACCAGGTCGAACCCAGTCCAGTTCTCATATCCAGACGTCCCCAGGAAATCCCCAAGATCCCCAGGCATAACACCAATTGTCTCTAGAAGATCCATCGAAACCCACTGTGTCCGGAGGTAGGACCTTATTTTTTAATGGCACCCTCCCAAAAAATACCCCAAATTGTGAAAAACTGCCAGGTTTTGCAGGGTCGACACGCCCTGAGCCTCCAAAGAATCAAAACACCAGCTCAGAAAAAAACAGTGTTTTGGCAGGACCTGATTCTTTAAGGACACCTCCCTGTGTCGGGAGGCAGGACGTGATTCTTTAGTACCAGTTAAAAAAAATAGTGTTTTAGCAGGACCTGATTCTTTAAGGACACCCTTCCCTGTGTCGGAAGGCAGGACCTGATTCTTTAGTGGCACCCCCCTCAAAATATCCCAAGTTGTAGGGTCGACAGGCCTGAGCCTCTAAAGAATCAAAACGCCAGCTCGAACCCAGTCCAGGTCTCATATCCAGACGTCCCCAGGAAATCCCCAAGACCCCCAGGCATAACACCAGTTGTCTTTAGAAGATCCATCAAAACTCATTGTGTCCGGAGGCAGGACTTCATTCTTTATCATTCTTTAATGGCACCCTCCACCAAAGAACCGGACACCCGGGTCAAAGACTGAATACAAAGGTGGATATGTTATTTACAATCAATTTTGATCAAACCAGAAAAATGAAACAAGAGGAGGCAGCCAAAGACAACGCTTTGGCAGAAGCTTCTGCCATGACAAAAACAGAAGCCGCTAATCTGGCATGGGCAAAAGAAGGGCAAATTTCATCTCCGGTGTGCAAAGGAATCATTTGGGTACGTTTGGTGTTTTTTTATGTTTGTTGATGTCCACATGGCTAACACGGACGCCCTATTTTTTAGAGGTTTACTTTTGTATTTGTTTTTTTTGTGTTTTTTTGTATTTGTTGTAGTTGGTTGCCTGGGCTCTTAGATGGTCTTAGACCCCTTGCATCCTAGGTAGGCATTCTTTAGATGTGCCATTTCAGTAGTACAAGGTGGACCTCCGTTTTTTGTCTAAAGAATGCTGGAGTCCATGTGAGCAGGATAATTCCAAGGAGAATTGTACATGCAAGAATTTGTGTTAAAATCTGTTAAAACACCTTCCAGAGTTGAAGAATGTTAAAGATGTGCTTTCAAAATTCACCTAAAAATGCCGAATGAATTATAATAATCCTAATATAGACACAAATAAATAAGTCTATATGTTCTCATATGATTGCATGCGCATCTTATTGATGATGCTTGACTGCGCCGTCGTCCATTCGACTGCAACTTGGGTATCCAATTCTTTAAAGGGGCACCCCTTGGTGTGCAACTTGGGTCTCCAATCCTTTAAAGGGACATACCTGGCTACTGTGTTGCAATCTTGGTTCATTGGGGTTAGATTCTTTAAGGCTGAAATTTGCCCTGTTTCGCATTCTTTAAGAGGCTACCAGTGGTCCCTTAAAGATTCAGGGGTCAGGGTCGGAACCCGAATTGCAAGGGGGATGTTATAGGTACCATAAACCATAGTTATTGGAGTTATAAACCAACTTAGCTATCCAACGGGGGCCCCACTTTGTACATAGAATAGGAGGGGTGAGAGTGAATCGGGTCCATAGTGTTTTATTCTCAGTTCCTTTTCTAATGGTCCTGGGCAACATTGCACATCCGAAACCATGGCAAGCATCAAATTCCATGTAATTCTTCTAGTAGACGCCATATCAATTAAGATAAACATAGCAATCTTTATGCCATTTTTCGTAAAGATAACACCATAGTCCAATTTCAAATTGAGAAGAGTGGATAGTGCTAGCATGTCTCTGTAGCATTTGTGTCAGCAAAGGAATTGTTTCAAGTTGCATCTGAAATACCTCATTCGGAGTATCCATATGTCCATCCCAAAGTCTTCAATATAAGCAACACAGTGAGGAAGTAGATGAACCATCAAAAGATCTCAGAATCAATACAGTGAGCGTAGATACCAATGGCTCTAGCACTGCTAATCAAGGGAAACTCCTTTCCATATTTCCTCAAGTAGGTGGCACTGATTAGCCTCAACCCATAGCAACATCATAACATCCAAGAAGTTTACATCCTGAGGCAGGGAACAAAAAACAACAAATCCCATAGTCAATCATGCCTGTATTGATGGAATCACCTCTGACGAGTTCTAAAAAAATCCTCAGTGCTATTTTTCACCAGGAAATCGGTCCCCACCCCAAGTTCCAATTGCCATGTTCGATGACACTGGAGTCACTGGAGGGTCTATCATTGGATTGGTTTACGGGAAAATTGAAACCGGAACCCCCCCATGATCTTAATGGATTTTATATAATGGTAAATAGCCATCAAACCATGGTTTCTGGTTAAGATTTTCCCAAGAAAACTAATCCATTGTATATATCAGAAAAACCACTATGGTTGGAAAAACCAAGGATTTGGCTATTTCCTGTATAGTAAAAACCCATGGATTTTCCTGTATATATCCATGGATTAGGGAATAGAAAATCCAATGAGTAGCCTCTCTATTTATGGTTCTATTTATGGCATCTATTTATAAACCATCAATGGTAGCCTCTGGTAAACGTTTACAGTTCGCTATAGAAAATCATCATTCATAGTTGATTTACCCATAAAAAAATGGAGATTTTCTATATAAATCACCATTTTCTCATGGTTTTCCCATCATTTTCCTATTAAAAATGGCGGATTTTCCATAGCTACGTTAGTTTACCAGAGGGTATATAGACTTAATTTCCATCTGGTTATTTAACATAGCTATGGAAAATTCCAACCATAAATGGATGGGTTTTAGCTGGGAAAATCATCTATTTCTATGGGCCATGGCTTCCATAATAATCCCATTCATCCATAATAATCCCATATCCCAATCATCCACTATAACCCACTATCATAATCCATTAATCATCCATCCTATAGTGGATTAATCCTTACATTCATCCCATATCCCCATAATCCATATGGAATCTAATGTTATAATATGTTATAATCCCTACCATAAACCGATGGGTTTTAGCTGGGAAAATCATCCTTCATAGTTGATTTACCCATTAAAAAATGGTGATTTTCTATATAAATCACCATTTTCTCATGGTTTTCCCATCATTTTCCCATAAAATGTGGATTTTCGATTAGGGCCCCATGGCTTCCATAAGGATCGGAGATGTGACCACCACCATGCTCTGGGTGCAGCACAAAATCTCCACCGCAGGCGCCGTTTTCGCCGGTTGCGGTTCGCTGGTGGTTGGTGGGAGCTAGGTTTGACCATGGGATTCGAAGTAGCATGAATGTTGGAATGTAACTACCATAACATCCTATAACTATGGCTGTATATATATATATATACATATACATATACATATATATATATTAATGTGATATATATATATACAAATATATTATAATATGATATAACCTCTGATTAGTGCAACTGCACCCTCAAGTAGGGTTGTATCCGTGCTTGGAGGATCCGCATTGTATCCGTGCATGGTCACAGTTCCCGGCTCGAATAAAATGGTATATTATAGTGATTTAATGTGATATTATAGTGGTTAAATGGGATATTGTAGTGATTAAATGGAATTTTATAGCGATTTATATAATGGGATATTTTTGATGAATACCCTCTGGTAATTTGTTACATAGCTATTGAACATCACCATTTTTAATAGGAAAATGATGGGAAAACCATGGGAAATGGTAATACCATTTAGTTCGTGGATTTACCCATTGAAAATGGTGGATCTTTCCATACTTATGTTAATTGACCAGAGGGTATCCATGAATAAAGTTTTGCTAATCCTGGATGTTATCCAAACATCCATGATAAATATCACCCGCATCCATGATTGTATGTGACCTTCTCATTTTGGCTAGTGGAATGTGGGTCAGACATCCTCATCGAGCAACAAGATGCTTGAACATCCACTTCCTCCGGGATATTGCTTACCGTGCTTGTTGGCAAAAGAAAGACAGGTAATTCAAACCCGCACACGGTGAAACAAACCCGCACAAGTTCCCTGGTAATTTAACATAGCTATTGAAAATGGCCCAGTCGAAATCGTTGATTTCCCCACAAAAAAATGGTGGATCTTTCCATCGTTTTTTGTAAACGTTTACCAGAGGGTACTGAAAAACCCGTTTTTTGTTACTCAAAATCGAACAACAAATGCTGGTCAAGTCTCCATCTACTGTTGGTAAAACCTCTCCATTCTACCTTTTTGTTGGTTATAGAATTCACGTCTGCATTTTGGGATTCCCATTGTATCCTCATAGTTTCTTGGTTAAATCATGTTAAATCCCAATTTTCCGGACTGAGGTGATTAACTATCCCAAGAGCTGATTTTTGCATCCCATATATCACACAACATTCCCATGTTGATGATCGTTGCATTGCCAAGCTTGGGTTGAGGAAATGTCCATTGTATCCCCATATTTTCTTGGTTAAACCGTGTTAAGTCCAAATTTACGGAGGTGATTTTGGTGATTTTGAGCTGCAGGCATTGTGATTTGGCTCTTCTTGCCTTCCTTTGTCGCTGGAGTTGTTCCTCTCTTTGGTATCTGGTGGCAGGTGGGAGGATGGTGGGGATGCTGGGGATGGTGGGGATGGTGGTTGGCGCCTTGATATTGGCTATTTCAGAATGGCTATTTCACCAACAATCATGGCTATTTCACCATGAAAAAATGAGATTTAGTGGGGTTAAAACATTTTTTTTTGTTGGTGAGCCTGAATATTCTGATATTCTTCTCAAGAGGCTTCAAATCCCTGCCTTGAGATGATTTCACTGAAGTGGGATTTTGGATGTTGGAATGCAGAGGACACCTCCTGGTTTTAGGGTGAGCGCAGAGTTTTGGTTTGTATTGGATCAACTTACCTTTCATGTGTTTGGCCTTGTTTTTTGCATGCGGAGTGCAACAAGAAAAGCCATGGCTTGGACGTCAGCGGTTTCACGGCAAGTATTTGTTGTAGCGTCAATATCTCCAGTTTTTGTGGAACAGGCACTGCTAGAGGCTGAACTTTGACATTTATGCCAATTTATGCAATCCCCATATTTTTGCTGATTCAATCGAGGTGAATTCCGCTTTTTGATAACCAGAGGGTAAATACCCATTAGATCCCATTCATTTCTATTAAGTCACCATAAACTCCCATCGTTATCCCATTAATTTTTTGTACCCCCCATTTTTTTGCCCCTTAAAACGGTGCCCAAAAGCCGCCCAGCTCACGCCCCCCAAACTAGCGAGTTCAGCCGAAGTTCCAGGCTAGACGCTGCGGCCCCAAGTGTGAAGATGAAGCACCAGAGATCGATCCACCTGTGACTTGGCGATGGTGACTTTCTGTGACGAAGGGTGGGGAAACCCATGGGGTTCCGGTAGCCCACTATTTGAATAGGTCAATCACTGTTAAGTCACCTATAAATTGGTACATGTGGGATTTTTTTCAGTGGATGAGTTAGGTGCACTGATGTGGTTCAATCCTATTTTAGGAAAGCTCCACCCACATGGCTAGAACCATGGGAATTCTCACTCCCATGAGTTGGAATATAAGAAGAACTTTGGTGAAATGTACTCATTGACAACTCGAACTGCACTTCCAAGTAGGTAGCTGATGCTGGGCAAACTTGGGAGGCTACTTTCATACTCTTTCATACACATGTTCCCAGGTTATCTCTCTTATCTCTCGCCAGCATATCATGGGATACAACCATCAACAATAGTATACCATGATAGTAGATACTGAATATCATGATTTTTTCATGTGTATACCATTCACAAAATAGCATATCATGGGATACAACCACTCAAGTAAGTTGAATCGCGATTTTGATGATAATATTTGGTCTAGCCAGCTGCTTGGATGGCTACCTGGATGTCCATGCCATTAGATGGAATCTGACGGGTCTAGCTGTGGGCTTTCCTGAATTGGCCCAGAGGAAAACGAACGTTTACAGCTTGCTCTTGAACATGACCACGTTAAAAATCCTTGATTTACCCATCAAACAATGGTGATTTTCCATAGTTTTTTTGTTGGTTTACCAGAGGGTAATTAGCCCAAGTTTGAGAAGATACGGTCATAGATGTGGTTGTGTTTAGTCTAAACAAGCATCGAATTGCAGGCAATTTTGGTCATGATTTTCCAGCAGGGTCAACATCAAGACTATGGCAAGCCACAAAAAGATAGTAAAAATCCTACTAGGACAGTGGTAAACAACTGTTCTGTCTCCTAGGGGGCTCCTATATATGTTTTCTTCTCCGGTGTCATCAAACATGGCAAATAAAAATCCTCTATAAATGGTGGTTTTAAGGGGAACATCTTCTATATTATGAGCTATTTTCCGGCATCGTTGATTACCAGGGGCAAAAAACTGGGATTTTCCCGAAACTCTTCCCGTGTTCTTCACGTTCTCTTCTTCCTGAGTTCTTCCTGAGGCCGCCAGCACAAATAGCAAAGTCGTCTTGGTGTTTGGTATCGTCTGCATCTTGATGGTTCCTGTGGTGAAGATCGTCACCTTGGCTGAGCGGAGCTGTGGTTTAAATCTCGAGTGGACTCAGTGGATCTCATCAGGAATCGCAAAAAAATCTCCATTAAACTGGCTATATCTCCATTAAACTATATCATGATATTTAATGATATTTCATGATATTTCCATATTTACTCTGGTTGGTGGTTTGGAACATTTGGATTATTTTTTCCATTCAGTTCAGAATGTCATCATCATCCCAACTGACGATTCGTAGTCATATTGTTCAGAGGTGGTCAACCAACCACCAACCAGGTACTGGTTGGAGAGCGTAGCATTATATATCATTATATCACCATTACACAAATATCATGATATTTCCAGGATATGTATCATATGATTACACATATCATTACACATATCATGATATTAAACTGGTTATATCACCACATATCTCATGATATTTCCATATATTTCTTGGTTGGATAGCAACCTTTTGAGACTCCTGATCCGGTATCTTTCCACCGGTTTTTCAATTCCTCAGGTCACCGGTTTGCCACCATATCTGGGGATGATGATGGCCTTGGGCGTCTTCTGGTTGGTGTCCCTCGGTGACGACTGACCGGAAAACAATGGGGAAACATGGGGATTTTGTACAAGGCATAAAACATGGGGATTTCATAGTTGATATAGTTGATATAGTTGAGATATGGGGAAGATATGAATGGGATTTGTTGAACATGGGAGATTTCTGAATGGGATGTTCATGGGCATTTCATGGGATATCATGGGCAGATATAGTGGTATATAACCAACAGCAAAGCAGATTTGGGTGGTGTCTGAGAATGTGTTTTTTCCCCCATAAATGGCAATTGTTCATCGGGAACTTGATGATTCACCTGTGCATGACATGGGATTTCCCCAGAATCAGAGAAACCCATAGCCACGGTCAAAAGTTGGGTCATGTACAGTAGGCATGTTGGGGGATGGGGTCATCAATGCATAGGGATTGACCCATTTTCCTGGAATCTGAGATAATCTGAGTATCGAATGACCATATCACATATAACACATATACCATCTTTTGATCTTGGCACATAAAAACACTATAACTATCTATAACTCATATATGTGTGACTATTTTCAGCACACCTACCAAGTAGTTTTCTCTAGGTCGACCTATGGCTTCCACTGGTTGTTCCAGGTTGTTCCAGGGTCCAGCTGTATCCCTCGGATGGATCACATGGAAAAGATGATCAAAAGTTGCGTAACAGTACGGTTACAATGGTGATTTATAGATGATTTATAAATGGATGATATATAGGAAAGAGTGATATGAAAATATTTTTTTGGTAGCTCGGTTATGCGCAACCACAAAAACCACAAACCCAGCAGTAGGCTTAAGACGGTTAAGATTCCCTTTTCATGTCGTGGAAACAGACCTCTGTTTGGATTTCATAGTCGATGGTAGAAACCACCATCCAGATCCAGCTGCTTTACGTCACAGGCCGATTCGGCCTGAGAGTTTGATTTCAAGGTATTCGACTCCCCTTATTATCATTGCTTCATATCATATTTTGGTACTATAACACACAGTTTAACACAGATCTTATTTGAACCTTTGTTGTAATACAACGGTAAGCATGTTGAACCCCACCTGGCTTTGTTTCCACATCACTTCCCGGCGATTCCAAAAGGTCGGAAATGGCCGACTTGGCCTCAGAGGAGGAAGAAGAAGATGAGGAGACCGGACATCAGGCCTCCGGGAACTTGGGATCTACCCTGTGGTAAACCAACATAGTTGTGGACAATCTCCATTTTTAATAGGAAAACCATGGGAAAACCATGGGAAAATGGTGGTTTATATGGACAGATCCACCATTTTTAATAGAGAAATCAACTACAAATGGCCATTTTCAATAGCTATGTGAAACTACCAGAGTGTAAAGACCGCAACGGTCTATCAAGACAAAGAAACTCAATCAGTTGATTAAGAATTGGCGACAAGTTAGTTTGGGGAAAACTAAACCCTAAACCAAAGTCACATCACTTATCCACTTCTCAAAATTCTGAGTGACAAATCCAGTTGCAAATACCATCTATACCATAAATCCTATATTTATAGTAGTTCTACATCCACTTGGCTAACATAATTTTCCCACAAATTACATCATATTACATCATATTACATCATATTACATCCATCATATTACATCCTGAATTCTTGCGGCCATAAAAGGGGATGATTTCCCTAAAATAAAACCATGATTTCCAGGCTTCGGTCGCGACGTGAGGTCGTGATGAAATTTACCCAGATATAATATATCAAGTTGGTGCCAATAACTCCAATTTCACTATGGTTTATTATGGTACTTATATGTACTTACAACTGGGGCTTATAATTGCAATAGTTATAACTAAGTTATAATAGTACTATAATTATACTTATTACTATAGTATACTTAAGTACTATGGGGCTTATAGTGTACTTATAACGAACTAGTTACTGGTGCGATTGTTAACCAACGTTCACATCACTGGCCGGGGGGCCCCACATAATTTACCCAGAAATCCCGTCTGAACTCCCATGACTTCACTTTGGCCCTTTGGAGGTCGAGTTGCATGGGCACAAGGTGGGCGTTCCCGCGGCCCTGCGAAATGTGGACCTCAGCAGTTTGTTGCGCCTTGGAAGTCGGAGTTGGATGGGATCATGGGATGATGGGTGATGGCTTAAGAGCTATTAAGTCTTGATATGTACTTAATATGTATACTATATCATACTGTATCTATATATATAATATATAATATATATTACATATTATATATTATATATTATATTACATATATATAATAATATAATATATATAATATATCATATATCTAATATAATATATATATAATATATCATATATCTAATATAATATATATATATATATAATATCATATATATATATAATAATATATATATAATAATATATATATATATAATATAATATATATATATATATAATATATAATATAATATATATAATATGTAATATATACAATAATATATATATATAATATATATTATATATATATATAAATTATATATATATATATTATAATATATATATATATAATTTATATATAATATAATCTATATATATTTAAAAATTATATAAATTATACATATGTATTATATTATATATATAATATAATACATATATATAATTTATATAATTTTTAAATATATATTATAATATATATATAACAGATAATTTATATTATATAATATATATAATATAATATATATATATATATTATAGTTATACATGTATGTATGTATATATATATATCATCTATTTGTTTATATATATATAATTACATTTGATCTGAAATGAATTATAGAGCTGGCTGCCAGCTATTTAGATGTGAACATCATGCTGGATTTTGATATTTATGTGTATTTCCTCAAGTTCGTTTCAATCGTCCAAACAGGGCATGGATCACAACCTATTGCACCATGTTTTTGGGGGCTGAACATCCATAACCCCCAACTATTTTAGTTTAGAGATGTTTCCACTAGTTTCGACCCATAATTAGTCATATTCAACAACTGGGTAGTTGGACCACGGCTTATAGACGGCCGTGGGTTTTGGGGGGTTTTGGGGGGTTTTGGGGGGGCTGATAACGTTCTTGGCTGCCCGCCTTACAAGATATTCTCTTGGACTTGCTGCTACGCTATCCACTCTTCTCTTGCACCGTACCCTGGCACACGCTATCAACTTCTTCTTGTAACTTGCAAGACACTCTTGATTTTTGCATTGTTGTTTCTTGGGGGGGGATTTTGGGGGGGCTGATAACGTTCTTGGCTGCCCGCCTTACGAGATATTCTCTTGGACTTGCTGCTACGCTATCCACTCTTCTCTTGCACCGTACCCTGGCACACGCTATCAACTTCTTCTTGTAACTTGCAAGACACTCTTGATTTTTGCATTGTTGTTTCTTGGGGGGAGGGGTTTTGGGGGGGCTGATAACGTTCTTGGCTGCCCGCCTTACAAGATATTCTCTTGGACTTGCTGCTACGCTATCCACTCTTCTCTTGCACCGTACCCTGGCACACACTATCAACTTCTTCTTGTAACTTGCAAGACACTCTTGATTTTTGCATTGTTGTTTCTTGGGGGGGGTTGGGGGGGGTTTTGGGGGGGGCTGATAGCGTTCTTGGCTGCCCGCCTTACAAGATATTCTCTTGGACTTGCTGCTACGCTATCCACTCTTCTCTTGCACCGTACCCTGGCACACGCTATCAACTTCTTCTTGTAACTTGCAAGACACTCTTGATTTTTGCATTGTTGTTTCTTTGGGGGGGGTTTTGGGGGGGGCTGATAACGTTCTTGGCTGCCCGCCTTACAAGATATTCTCTTGTCGATCTGCTGAAGAAATATCATGACTTTCAATGACGGCTTCATCCACTGAAACAAATAGTTTGACTGCATTGCAAAATGACTAAAAAACATATTTTTCCCCATCTAATTACGAGATGAAGCCGCTTTAACCAATGGCACGGCTGCGTGAAAGATCCAAAATGGTCTGGAATGCTCTGACCACTGTAAATCAGCAGGAAAACAAATGCTCAGCATTGCTGGTGTGCTGAATTCCTCACGGCCGCCTGTGAGCCGTGTACCTAGTTTGAACCTGGATGATAACTTCGCGGTCCCTATTTGGCTATTCAGACGCTCTCCATTTTTGTTGAGTTTAAACATCACCTTTCACGTGAAAAACTGCATTTTAGCACCTTCCGGCCTTCCGGCAAGTCAAACGTGGCTGGAAAATCGTCCATTTAGTAATTTAGTTCGATGATTTTCCCAGCTGTACAACAACCTCTTTTTATAGTTCGATGATTTTCCCATCTATTTAAGGTCATCTTAAGGTTTTCTGTATGATTTTCCGGGAAAATCATCGAAGGAAAACGTTGGGATTTTTTTCCTGGCCCAGTGGCACTTCGTACAGGTTCTTCACCGGAGTCTTGATGGGCGTGTCTGCCTTGGAATCTGCCGAGGCAGGCCGCGATTTAAAGTTCACCAGTTGCTGGTTGGAACATGTCCAGATTTGGGAAAACCATGGGAAAACCATGAGAAAACCATGGGAAAATGGTGATTTATATGGAAAATCACAATGTTTTAATGTGTAAATCAACTACTGGTTGGTGGTTTGGAACATGTTTTTTTTCCGTATTATTGGGAATGATATAACCCCAACTGACGAACTCATATTTTGCAGAGGGGTAGGGTTCAAACCACCAACCAGATAGCAATTGAACATGTCCATAATTTTCAGATTATCATAATTTTCAGATTTATGATGGTGATTTCATGAGCACTGAAAAAATGAAAAATCCATCGAGGTTTCCTAAAAGTCATGGGGGTTGGCCCCAAATCATTGTGAAATTTTCAGACATTTCGTGTTGAAACTCATGGTGACGACTAGGGATTCCACAGTAATATTCTCATCCAAGTCTGATAGGTTTCAAAAGGTCCAGGTACCTATGCGGGATGATGATTAGTACCCTCCGGTAAACATACAAAAAACCATGGAAAGATCCACCATGCTATTAATGAGTAAATCCACGATTTCCATGGTCATTTTTTCAAGTTCGCAAACTGTGAATGTTTACCAGGCCGGGTAGTAATGACATCTGACCTGAAAATTTCCAGCAACCGTGGGACTTCGGCGTGAATTTTTCGTTGCAGGTCTTGGCCAACTACTCCGAGTTCATGCGTAACTTGGATGACTCGGAATGACTTGGAGATGGCCTGGCCTTGGATGACAGCCACATTCACCCCCTGTACCCTCTGGTAAACATACAAAAAACTATGGAAAATCACCATTTTTAATGGGAAAATCTATAAATGGTGATTTTCCATAGCTATGTTAGTTTACCGGATGGTATTTTTTTGTTTTTTTGGTAAGTAGGGCCCATGTCCAGTTGCAACAGGAACAAACTTCTGACTCTACACACACGATTCCTGGGCAGTTCACCACCAAGAAAAAACGTTTACAAAAAACTATGGAAAGCTCCACCATTTTTATAGCTGGGTAAATCCACAAAAAATCGACTGGGCCATGGCTTCAAGTTTGCAAACTGTGAATGTTTACCAGGCCGGGCAATGGCGATGTGATGGCAACATGGAACCAGCACGTGACGACTGGGTTGTTTCTGAAGTCATGGTGAATCCTGAGTCGTCACCATGGCTTTCAATACTACCCTCTGGTAATCGTTAACAAAAAGCTATTGAACATGGCCATAGAAATAGTGAGTTTTCCCATTAAAAATGGTGGTTTTCCATAGTTTTTTGTATGTTTTTCAGAGGGTAAGTCATGGTCATTTTATGAGGACTGGATGATGCTGGATGGGGTAGCCCATGACATCCATGACGGGCAGGAAACCACCATATAGCCATAATAGAATGGCCATATAGATATAGTATGATATAGTTTCCAGTTGTTCATCGAATTATCTTTTTAAACAGGCTTTAAACCATGGTTAACCAATCTCACCTCATCTCAGCTCCTTGAGATTTGCCTCGATCTGTGACTGGTCAAGAGTGAGCTACATCGCTAAGTTGGGGACATTAAAGGTTTATAACTTTTAAAGATAAACAAGACTTCATAACTTCATAACTAACACTTCACTCGGGTTCATGGTAGATAGATTGAACATGATTGAACTATTTTTTACTACTTCTATAGTTAGTGAAGTTCATACAGCAAACAATTTTCGGAGCACCTGCTTGTACCCTTTTTCTGGACGTGGACCCTTGGTGGGATGTCGTTTAAGTCCCCTGGCTTTTCATGGCTTATCCCATATATTAAAATGGTTTGTAAGTGGTTAGTAAGTGACCTAATTAAGTGGGTTATCCATACACACTTATTCCATACATACATATATCTATCTATCTATCTATCTATCTATCTATCTATCTATCTATCTATCTATCTATCTATCTATCTATCTATCTATCTATCTACTAGTATCTATCTATCTACTAGTATCTATCTATCTACTAGTATCTATCTATCTACTAGTATCTATCTATCTACTAGTATCTATCTATCTACTAGTATCTATCTATCTACTAGTATCTATCTATCTATCTATCTATCTATCTATCTATCTATCTATCTATCTATCTATCTATCTATCTATCTATCTATCTATCTATCTAATCTATCTAATCTAATCTAATCTAATCCAATCCAATCTAATCTATTATATCTTTCTATCTATCTATTTATCTATCTATCTATCTATCCATCCATCTATCTATCTATCTATTTATCTATCTATCTAATCTATCTAATCTAATCTAATCTAATCTAATCTAATCTAATCTATCTATCTATCTATTTATCTATCTATCTATCTATCTATCTATCTATGTAACGTTTACTATACACTTGTATATTTAAATATACTTGTGAACTATGATTACTGTTGATGACTGATGACTCATATTTTTGGGCACCAACAAAACTTACGACTGTGGGATGACCAATCTCAACCCAGCACCAGACACCGAGGTCGCGTGACCAAGGGCAGTGACATGCTGCTGGCTGTGCGCATCGGAGTGAGTTCGGCCGTGGTGGACAACGTCCCGTTGGTGCAGGCGACCGAGACCCCGAGACCGAGATCATGTTGGGATGCTGAAAAAAATCCGAAAAAAAAAAACGCGTTTTTTTTAGAAGAATGTGGTGAAGAAATCGCACGTTAATCAGGATTAAAGTGATTTAAGCGATTAAACCGCTAAAATATATATCTGAGAAGAGGATTTAACCTATGAATCACCTCTAATTCCGAATTTTCAGTGCTCTAAATGTGAAATCCTGCCCTGGATTTCTTTTTGACCAACAGACATAACTCGGGGGGGCTGTATTGCAGAGAATTAACCAACCTAGTTATGTAGGGATTCCTACAAGGCATTAGGGGAACCACTTACCAATTCCTCACTGGTTCATATGGTTTGACCATTATGGTCCACTACCAATTGTTACCTGGTTGAACCATAATTCTTGAATGGTTAAGTCGTCAAGTTCAGTGGTCAAAAACCACGAATCATCCCCTGGAAAAACGCATGGTCAGCTCTTTCAGAGATACCCAGCTCTTTTTCATCATTTTGAATGGTCAAATCCCTAGTTTCAATGGTAAAAATCACCATTACCAGAGGGTATAAGTTGTATGTGTATGGCTATAGAAATAGTGGATTTACCCTTCAAAAATAGTGATTTTTAGTGGATTTACCCATTGAACATGGCTATTTATAGTGGATTTACCCTTTTTTGCTCAAAAGAACCAACAACCAAACTCCCCCGGGTGCGCTTTGCTGGTGGAGAAGGCCTCCATTGAGATGTTCGATGAGCCAATGGACGACGAGCTGTGGCAGTTAGTTGCCCTCAGTGCCGGCACAGGCAACGCCCGGCAACGCCAGTTAGACGCCCGGGAGGTCCAGAGATCACGGCAGTGAAAGTCGAATGTCAATTAATATGTTAATATGGGAATATATGGGAATACATGGGATATATGGATTATATGAACTAATATGATGGTTAATGTATATATATATATATATTATGAACATATTGCAAAGTTGGTTCCACATATCTATTTATTAAAAAGGTCTAAAGCAACTTCGCGATGTAGCTCGGCGCTCGGCACTGGTGAAAAGTAGGATAATTGACACCAGAAAAATGGGAAAGAAATTGTGGAGTTCCAAAGATCGAGTTCGATTGGTTTTTGTGAGGTCAACTGGAGGATAAACATCAATTTTTGAAACATCATTTATATATATATGATATATATATACTCATCTATAATCATCTATAAACATCAATTTTTGAAACATACATAGCTGTGAAACTTTTCAGAAACTTGACCTAGCCTAGTCGCCCACGTTGCAAAAAAAAGATCAAGAAAAGATCATCTTCATAGAGGAAGAAATCGTTGGGGCCATTGTTGCGTCCAATTTTGCTGGGGACGCATCTGAAAATCAGGGTTTCGGTAAAGTGGAAGGTTTGGTCAAGATGACAGGTCAAAATCATGAACTTTGATCCATTGATGCTACCCTGATTTTTTGCCGGTTACATAATATATACTCATCTATAATCATCTATAATCATCTATAATCATCAATATATATACACATAGTATAATATATATATATATACACAATGAATGCTCATTAATTACTACAGCACATCTTTTCACCACATGGGTGTGTCTTTTTCACCATGAGATTTTGGGTGAATTTCTTGGTGAATGTCTCGACGAAGCGACTAAGCCGAATCAACTGGCTTGAACTAATCTACTTGCTATCTTGCTGCATGTATATATATATATAAAAACATATATATATATACATACACACATCTGCATTTCAGGATGATTCGACCATGTTGGACTTCACTTTTTGCTGAAAGTTCCCCTGGCCATTTAGCCCGGTTTAGCCCATCAGGTGGCTCCATGCTGGCCGTGGGGAGTGTGGCAGGTGCCGTGTCCGGCCAAGTATTTGAGATGGCATAGGATATGAATGTAAGGATTGTAACATTAGATTCCACATGGATTATTCCTCACCATCACCAGACATCAGCACTAACATCACTGGAAGGAGTAAGTCGAGCTGACTAGGGAAAAAATGAAACCACCACACAGAGAAATAGTGGCAAAACTGTCTGGTGCACTGCAGGCCGTCCCCATATATTAATGGGAGCTGACCAGGTGGAGGAAAATGGTCGGCCAGCATGTGCACATATGGATTATTGGGATATGGTATGATTTTTTAGGATTAATTCACTATAGGATGGATGATCCATGGATTATGATAGTGGGTTATAGTGGATGAATGGGATGAATGGGATGAATGGGATGAATAGGATGAATAGGAAAGGATTCTGAGAATACCTTTCATCAAATGATCATGGAAAGGATTCCCAGATCATTTGAGATCTTGGGACTTGGTGTATTCCAAAAAAAATCAAATCGTGTTCGAATGAATCAACAACCATTTTTTTAGACCATTGCCATTCAACGTCTCCCCAGGTTGATCAGTCTTAGTGTTTTAATCGTAGGGTCCCCAGACTGATTCTTCCGATTGCAAATGGTACCCTTCATATTGGTTTTAATTGAAGTTTCATACATCCATATAGCGATCGTTGGGACGCCACTCACTTGGGGGGCGATATGACCAAGCATGATAGGGATACAACAAGCTGGACACAACACATTCGCCTGTGAATGAAGGTTTCTCACGTTTGTGGAGTCCCAATTTACCAGTTTTATACCAGTTTTATACCAGTTTTTTTACCAGTTTGTGGAGTCCATTTACAACCGTAGTTGGGTCGTCAAAAACCAGTTTTATTGATACCTGGTAAAACGGTGGATGTTAGATTTACACTTTTTATCCGCAGATTTTGTCCATGTCAACGGTGCAAAACGAAACCAGTTGTTTGCTTTCTACTCATGTCTACTCATGTCTAATCCATTTATTCTCGAATTTGGGTGGCTTAAACATGGTTAAACCATGTTAAACACATGTTCAACGATGTTAGATCGATCATTGATATTCCAATGAAATATGGTCACATGGTCCTGGTATTTTACCAGCCCAATCAATGGTGAATCCATTTGGCACCACCAGGCGTCACGCTCATGGGCCTGGAGAAGGTGGGCAGCGGCTGGGACGGTGGGGAGCCGTGGGTAACTCGCCATATGGAGGTTTCCAAAGCGGGGGTACCCCCTCCATTTTAGATTGGGATGTGACCCATTCCCAAGAGAAAAACCATCTGTTTTTTTTGGGTACCATTTATGAAAACCTCCATATATCCATGATTTTTTTCAGGTATGTATCCATTTCATATCTCGGTAGATATTATCCATATATTCATTATGTATATCTATATCTCTATAATGTGGGTAAAACAATGTGATTTTTACCTCAAACATGACTGGGCATGGGATGTCCATACCACCAACCAAAACATGGTGATGACTGGGGGACGGTTTATGGCATTGTTTTACCCACATGAGTGTGGTAAAGCTGATCATAAGTCATGCGTTAACCATGGGAATTTGCCACCGAAAGGGATGGGTTTTACAAGATTTGACCATCAAACATGGTGAGTGAACCAAGAAAAGTGGTATGAAATGGGATTATAATGGAACATAAACATCAACAATATCTGTTCGCCATGTTTGGTGGTTTACACCACTTTTTTGGGGGGGACTATAGCGGTTTTCAACACTGCTCCATTCGTCATGGTTGGTTTTGATAAACATGATTATGATGTTATGAAACCACCAATAAACAGAACTGGAAGCAGAAACATTCTAGCTCCCCAATCAATGAGGGTCCAATGACGATTGCAATCGGGGTTGTCAATTTTAGTGGTGTTTTCATGGCTGTTTTCTTGATGATTTTGCGGAATGAAGCAGCAGCAAAAAGACATTTTTTCGTGTACAATCAATGGTAATTATAATGTGGTGCCAGTAGGCATGTTTGTTAATTTATAGCCCTCCATGAACTTTACCATGGTACAATAGATCCAACCATTTACCTGTTTGCACCAACTTAGCCAACAGGGGCCCAGCTGTAGACGTAAACGACGCTGGCGAACCTGGGGAATTCCAGCATGTTTATAATTGAGGATTTTCATGGATTTTCCAGGTTTTCCAGATTTTCCACTGCTGCATTTGATATCATTTGATTGCGTTTGATTTTTGAGTTGTTCTCCATTTGGAAACCAGCAACATCCATGGTCTTCACCCCGATCCGACCCACATCGCAGGTGGGCTTCCTGTGGTATGCCAAACGCATCTCCCCCTGGGCTGCAACGTGGTGGCAAGATGGCGCATGGAACACAGAAGGTGGTGACATTTTTTTTGCTGATGTTATCATCCCCATAAAAAAAATAACAGGTTTGATATACCATAAACGCACCAGGTCAACCTATACAGTAGTGAAATTTTCACCAGCTTTGCAAGTTCGCAAGGCTCCGAAACGCACAGCAACGCCACCCACCACGAAACCCAAGGCGCTTGGATTCATTCTGGCTTTGGGCACCTACCAACTTCAGCGCATGATGGCGCCGCAGTGATCGTCCGTAACGTCCGTGACGGTAAAATCGAGTGATTCTCCGGCGCAGCACGGCTTGGATGACTTCGGGTAGACAGCCCGACATCGCTTATGTTCAGACTGTTTTAGGGGAAAGAGCTGATGGCCGAAATGATGAACGACAGTTATGGACCTTTTCTCTTTTACCAGTTTTAAGATTTATAAGTCAGTAAGTCACCTCATTTATGGTCAGTTATAATCCCGTTTGTAAGCATAAACATAACTGGCTTTAGGGCTTTAGCTGAACTGAATTCAGCCTGTTTTTTTTTGCCGTTTCCCTGGTTCCCCACTTTGCTCCACAGCCATGAGCTCTTTTCCACTGCATTTAGGCAGGAAGCAGAAGAACAACCTCAGCAAAAGATCTTGAGGTGCCGAGGAGTGAACCAAGATGTACAATGGGTTTGTCAATATGGTACCCCTACATCCAGTGGTATTATCTAAAAAATATGGTTTTCCAGTGGTATTTTCCCAAGTGGTACCAATATACTTTGTCTAAAAAGATGTACATGGGTTTATCATCAGTTTCCCATTGCCCTCTGGTAAACTAATATGGAAAAATCCACCATTTTTTTGGGTAAATCCACTATTTCGACCGGGCCATGGCTTCAATAGCTATATGTTCATTACCAGAGGGTACTTCATGACCAGCAGCAATGCTGGGTATAATCAATGGATTGGTTTAAGGGAAAATCGACAGGAAACCAGGGCTTTTACCATCAAATATAGGGGTTTCCTGTAAATTTTGCCATCATCCAATTCTATGATATTAATCGACTGAACCCAATGTACAATGAACTGTGGCTGGGGTTCCCAGTGGCATGGAGTGCGCTGGACTCCCAGCTGCGCAGCTTGGTGACACCCCTCTTGGCTGCATGGAATTCGGGAAGTCCGTCCTGGACTAAGCTCCAGTGAGGCGTGCAGGGCCAGCTATGACCGTATAGCTGTTTGGCCACCAGCAAGACAAAGAGAGGGTTGTCCCTTGACAGAAATCCCTTCCAAATATTGATGAAAACGAGGGCTTGGCGGCTTAACCCTCAAAAATCGGGGGGGTTAACCTTCAAACATCGGCGTTTAACCTGCAAATATGGGGGTTAACAGGCTTTAACTCGGGTTTAATAATCTTGAAATGAGCATGAATCTGTGGCCAGTTCGCAAGTCTAGCTGCAGGATTTTCTGTGGTGAAGCAGCAAGTCTCCTTTTGAGGACCAAGTTCGATACCCTCTGGTAATTTAACATAGCTAATAGTTGATAGTTATTCATGGTTGGTGGTTTGGAACATGGCTTTTGTGATTTTCCTTTCAGTTGGGAATTTCATCATCCCAACTGACGATTCGTCCATCATTTTTCAGAGGGGTTGGTAGGTATACCACCAACCAGTGTAATGTTGATTAACCATCATCATTAACCATCATCATTAACCATTATATTAGCCATCATCATAAACCATCATTAACCATATATTAACCATCATTAACCATATATTAACCATCATTAACCATATATTAACCATTATGAACCATATATTAACCATCATTAACCATCATCATTAACCATCATTAACCATATATTTACCATCATTAACCATCATCATTAACCATCATTAACCATATATTAACCATTATTAACAGTATATTAACCATTAATCTAACCAGTCAATGATTTTCCGAGGTTAGATTTAGGGATTTTCTGAGCTCGGTAACAAAATTGGCAATTTAACGATGATCTTCCCGGATTTGGCAGTGATTCTGAAAAAATTAGGCCGACGTCGTTGCAACAAGAACCGTTAAGCCATGGGTTTTACCATCTCTCTTTCTCTCTCACTATATGTATATATTATATATAATATATACATATATATTATAATTATATTATAGTTATATATAATTATGATACAAATTATGATATATATATATATATATGGTTGGTGGTTTGGAACATTATTTTTTTCCATTCAGTTGGGAATAATAATCCTGACTGACTTTCATATTTGTCATAGGGGTTGAAACCACCAACCATATATATATATATATAATATCAATAATTGTGGGTTTTCCATATGGAACATAGGCTACAACTCATGCATAGCCATATATAGGGAATTTTCCATATAGAACTGGCTATAATACTATGGTTATTTTTTCCACCTTAAAGCCTTAAATCCATCGCCCCCAGATGTCTGTCTGCCAAGGTCATGGACTCCACAGATGCTCCAGAGAGAGCAGGTCGCAGTGCTTCTGCCATCAGCGGTGCCAGCACGCCAAAGCGACTCGAGGAGGGCCCGGCCCAAAAAATGGACCGAAGCCATGGGTTTTACCATCCTTATATAATAACCATAAGATGGAAAACCCTAAGAAACAGTTGGGAGTTTTTATTGAATAATGTTGATGAGATATTTGTGCTATATACCTTGATATATTTTCATGAGATATTATTTAAGTGGTACCTTTGATATATATATATATATATGGGAAGTCGATTACTCAGACTATTTCTGTGGGAGATATCTTTGTGCGGCCAACCGTCGTGGAAAGTATAGATTCGAGGCGCCTTGGCGCCGGCACAATTAGTGAAGCCCCCCGGCCGTTGTGATGTGAGCGTTGGTTAACAGATAAAAGCCCCAGTAACCAACGTTCATAAATATACTATTAACGTTAACTAAACTTCTATTAGCCCCAGTTATATAGTTATTAATAGTATATATAATGATAGTTCGTTATTTAAGCGTACCATAAACCAGTTCGTGAAATGGGAGTTATTGGAGTTATTGGCACCAACTGAACGCGGTTTCCTGGCCGGGGGCCTCAGATTGTATGGGTTTGTCACCCTCATGATTCAGAATCCCATCCCCTCATCCCCTCATTCAATACCCCTAGAAAACCCTGGACTGGCCCTATTGATTTTGGAAGCTCATATTCGCACGATCGGGGTTGGGATTACTCACAAGATTGGTTTATCATCATTTAAATCTATTTAAATCTAATACAACCATCAGCATATCATTATCTTCCTGGCAGGCATTTATGGCTTTGGCAAGGGTTCATGAAGTATTCTCTGAAATTTCCGTTAGGAGCTTGCATTTTCTAGCTGTTTGAAGATGATATTGTTGGAACCTATGCCATTCCGAGAATATTGCCATTAAATCCTACGAACTCCCACGAATCCCATATGGCAGTGTGTCAAAACCAATAGTACCCTGTAGTTCACATCAAAATAGCTGGGATTTATGGATGTTCATCCCCCTAAAAATGATATTCATAGGTATTGATCCATACCCATATAAATCCCATAGAATCACAATATAAATCCTCATTTTCCCAGGATTTGGGCGAGGCTGTGGTCTTGCCAGCGCTCAAGGCAGGTCCCAAAACACCGAGGGAAATGGTGGATTTCATGAGAAATGCCATAGGAAAAGCATCGGAAAAGCATGGGGAAATGGCGAAAATCATAGGAAAACCATAGGAAAATGGTGAAAATCATAGGATAACCATAGGAAATTGGTTAAGTTGGTGGTAGACTCAACTCGGGTTGATGGTGATGAAATTGCTACAATCAAATGGGATTTATAAACAAAGTTAGGATTTCATGGGATTTAGAGCCTGATTTATGCTGATTTATGATAGCTAAGTTAGCGCCGATGCCTGCAATAGGTATGGTTGGTGGGGGAGATATCTAACTATTTCAGTGGGTTTTACAAACCAAGTGAAAACTGGTGGAGCCCACTTTGTGGGGATGATGTGAAATATGCAAGAAAACTACGGTATGTTTTTTGAAAAAACAATAGCCCAAATTAGGCAATGTCAAGCCTGGATGAGACTAAAGCCTGTTGATGAAGATACACCAAAACAGTTGTCACAATTAATAGGAAGACATTGGTGGCTGGTACGGATGAAGTGATCTGGGAAAAGTCGACATGGTGATCCAGTGCTATCCCTACGAGAAGATTCAACTTGAGATGAATTATTGACTACCCTCTGGTAAACATACAAACTAGACGACGGTTGGCCCGCGAGCGAAAAAGATGTTTTTCAAGCAGCTCTGAGAATGGTAGTCGTAAAAGATAGTCGGGGAATAGTTGGTGAATTTTATATGAGCTATGGAAAGATATGGTGTAAAAAAGTAAGATTGATCAAGAAGAGAATATTTGGTAAAGGGCATCAGATGACATGTGTCTTGCAACCACAGAGAGAAAGAGGGGGGAGAGATAAAGAGAGAGAGAGAGAGAGAAAGAGAGAGAGAGAGAGAGAAAGAGAAAGCAAGAGAGAGAGAGAGAGAGAATGAAAGGGGGAGGTAGAAAGAAAACATAGAGAAATGTAATGTGAGCAACTAAAAGTGCACAGGAGGCTCGGTACCATGAGTCTGCGAATGACATGTGCTATCTCATTTTATTCTGGTAATTCCCACACACACATTGCGGAAAAAGGCTCGGCACCATCATTCCGTGAACGCGAAGAAACGCGAAGCTTTTATACAGAGACGCTTTTACACACAGAATCTTTTACACATAAACACTTTTACACACAGACGCTTTCACACAGAGACGTTTTTTCACGCACACACACAGACGCATTTCCACACAGAGACTTTTACACGAAAACACTTTAACACACAGACGCTTTTATACACAGACACTTTTACACACATACGCTTTTACATGCAGATGCCTTTTTACAGACGCACACACACTTTCACACACAAACGCTTTTACGCACAGAAGCTTTTACACACAGACGCTTTTCCACACAGACCCTTTTACACACAGACGCTTTTACACACAGACGTTTTTACACACAGACGCTTTTACACACAGACGCTTTTACACACAAAGGCTTTTACACACAGACGGTTTTACACACAGACGCTTTTACACGCAGACGCTTTTACACGCAGATGCGTTTTACACACGCACACACGCTTTCACACACAAACGCTTTTACACAGAGACGCGTTTACACACAGACGCTTTTACACACAGACGCTTTTACACGCAGATGCTTTTTACACACGCAGACACGCTTTCACACACAAACGCTTTTACACACAGACGCCTTTAAACACAGACACCTTTACACAAACGAAAGCGTCCATCGCAATTTTTCCTCCGTTTTTGACGTCCAACGTCCATTTCGTGCGAAAGGGTTACGATTGACCAAGTAAAATCGCAATTTTCCCTCAATTTTTGACGTCCAACGTCCATTTCGCGCGTAAGGGTTGCGATTAACTAAGTAAAATCGCAATTTTTCCTCAGTTTTTGACGTCCAACGTCCATTTCCTGCAAAAGGGTTGCGATTGACTAAGTAAAATCGCAATTTTTCCTCAGTTTTTGACGTCCAACGTCCATTTCGTGCGTAAGGGTTGCGATTGACTAAGTAAAGTCGCAATTTTTCCTCATTTTTTGACGTTCAACGTCCATTTCGTGCGAAAGCGTTGCGCGGGACGCTTCAAAGTCGCATTTTTTCTTCAGTTTTTGACGTCCAACGTCCATTTCGTGCGAAACGGTTGCGCGGGACGCTTCAAAGTCGCAATTTTTCCTCAGTTTTTGACGTCCAACGTCCATTTCGTGCGAAAGGGTTGCGATGGACACCTCAAAGTCGCAATTTTTCCTCAGTTTCTGACGTCCAACGTCCATTTCGTGCGAAAGGGTTGCGTTTCGTGGCGCTCCGGCGGTACCGCCCCCGCCTTAAGAGAGAATAGAAGAAGAGCGAGAGGAGATCTGCAGATGTGAAGGTGTGAAGATCTAGATCTGCAGGTGTGAAGGTGTGAAGATCTAGATCTGCAGGTGTGAAGGTGTGAAGATGTAGATCAGCAGATGTGAAGGTGTGAAGATGTAGATCGGCAGATGTGAGAGTGTGAAGATCTAGATCTGCAGGTGTGAGGGTGTGAAGATCTAGATCTGCAGGTGTGAGGGTATGAAGATCTAGATCTGCAGATGTGAGGGTGTGAAGATCTAGATCTGCAGTGAAGATGTAGATCTGCAGATGTGAGGGTGTGAAGATCTAGATCTGCAGGTGTGAGGGTGTGAAGATCTAGATCTGCAGGCGTGAGGGTGTGAAGATGTAGATCAGCAGATGTGAGGGTGTGAAGATGTAGATCTGCAGATGTGAAGGTGTGAAGATCTAGATCTGCAGATGTGAAGGTGTGAAGATCTAGATCTGCAGGTGTGAAGGTGTAAAGATCTAGATCTGCAGGTGTGAAGGTGTGAAGATGTAGATCAGCAGATGTGAAGGTGTGAAGATGTAGTATAACGGCTGCTTTTTTACGAAGAACCCTTCGCAAGCGCTCTCGGGAAAAACTATGGAAAATCCCATTTTTAATTGGTAAATCAACTATAAATGGCAATGTTCAATAGCTATGTTTGTTTACCAGAGGGTAATGCATAGTGAATTTTGAATAAGCTTCTACGGCTCATATCTCTACAAGACGAATGTTTTCTCAATGTGTGGATTGGTGTGTTTCCCATTTCTTCACGTTCATCCTATCCATCACGTACTTTCACAATCTTTTGCAACGGACACCGGCAGACGTCAATTGCTTGGATCTACAGCTTCAAATTCCTTTTTTTGCGGGGTTTCAAGTCAGGGTGAAACAACTAAGTAAAGCCACCTAAGAACCATTTACAATCACATCCAAATCCACATCCCAAATCAAATCATACTTTGTAAATATTTGTAACATATCATACATATTACAGTACTACGTATATATATATATATCATGATAATACTATATATAATATTAATATTACGGCAAGACCCTGAGGTTTGCCCGGACTCGCAACGAGCGTCCGGGTATGATGATGATGATGAAGATGATGATGATGATGATGATGATCACCGATATGCTCCACATAAACAACATGAATTAAACCTTTTTTGAAGATCTTGATTGAATGTAGAAGTTAAACGAGGGTGCGAGAATTAAGCCCTTATTGAAGATCTTCAATGAATGTAAAAGTTCAACGGGGCTGGGAGAATTAAACCCCTATTGAAGATCATCAGTGAAATTCAATGAATGTAAGAGTTTACCCGGGTGGGAGAATTAAACCCTTGTTGAAGATCTTCAATGAATAATGTAGAAGTTTAACGGTGGTGGGAAATTCATATGATATGTATAGTGTGAACAAATAATCCTTGTAATTTACGCTATTCTGGGCTTGGGCAAACCTCTGGGTCTGTGTGTAATATTATATAATACCATATATATATAATTAATCAATTTTAACATTCATAATATACAACATTAGATTCATAATAATTATACAATAGCATATATTCATTTATAATATTATATAATACCATAAATACCTATAATACCATTTATACAATACCATATATACCATTATATTATCATATATATGATTCATAGAACATTCAGAACTCAGAACGCTTCACGTTTTGTCCCCTTTGCGATTTCCGAGGCGCCAGGTGCTCCACCGCCGCTGCCCGAGATGCCCACGGCCGGGCCCGGAGGAAGCGATCTCCGGTGAAAAAAACGTAGGGGTCACCGGTGGTTAACCATTAACCATGGTAGATTTATGTAGATTTACCCTCTGGTTATTTAACATAGCCATGGAAAATATGGAAAATGGCCCATAGAAATAGATGGTTTACCCATTAAAAATGGTGATTTTCCATGGCTATGTTAAATAGCCAGATGGTAACCATGAACTTATAATATAACCATAGTTGAACATAATTATATATATAATAATGTAAATAACTATATAAGTTAATTTATAATAACCATAGTTGACTCTTAGTTGACCATAGTTGATTTAACTATAGTGAACCGTGAACCATGGTTGGTATGACTAGGGTTAATGAGGTTTATAAACCAACATGTTTGACATATTCTCATTTAACCATTAACCATAGTTTAACCACTTGATCATAATTGATCATAGTTTCTCCACTAGAGTGACTAGGTTAATGATTAGCTGATCATAGTAGATCATAGTTCATTTACTATCATATCATGGTTTAACTTTAATAGTTATTTTAACTTAATGTGTTGATTTGTTAACATTTGGTTCATAATAGGTAGGGGTTATTGCATGGATAAAATCAGAACAAATGTTAGTTGTTACCAAAATAAAATCGACCAATAGAAAAAACTGTTACTGTACATGTGTATATATATATATATATATGTATATGGATTAAATGGGGTAGATATACATATAATGTATATTGATAAAGTGCATGGGGATTTATACGTTGGTTGGAATTATTTGTTTGTTAAATAGTGCTAGATTAGTTGAACACTACTGGGGATTTAAAGATCCTTTAGTGATTATTTAGGTTAGCTATAGTACGAATGAATCTAGTATTTAGTTGAACATTACTGGTGATTTAAAAGTCCTTATTATCTATATATATATATATATTATATCTGTATATATATATATATATATTATAGACATAGACATAGATAGTTGATATATATATATATATATGTATATATATATATGTATATATATGTACATATATATATATGTATATATATATATATTTAATAAACAACCAATGAGATTCTACTGGTTTCGTGGGATAAACAATGGTTTAACTGTATTTTTTTATGACTATTCTCTGGAGCAGAAATTTAGGATGGGCCGGTGCCACTTTCTTTTTGGCAAGAAACTTAGATTCTTTTTTCGAGCGGACATTTTGAAGGTGTAGTAAATGGTTATCATGGTCGTGGCTTGGGCTGCTTGGGTTTTGCCAGTCACTGGCAGCCAGTGACAATGACCAGAATGCTGAACCGTGTCACTCTTTCGGTGCTCAGCATTCTCCACCGTTCTTGCGCTGGATGGAGTAGGCCAAGTTGCACTTAGGGTTACCCTCTGGTAAACTAACATAACTATTGAAAATCACATTTTTAGTGGTAAATCAACTATAAATGGCAATTTTCAGTAGCTAGGTTAAATTACCAGAGAGTACTTCATGACTAGACAAACGATTGAAAATTTGCTGGAGGATTTGTTAGATGGGTGAACATAAGCCAACTGATAACTGCGTGCCCACATTATAACTTTGTATCAGGCCGAGTGGCAAAAAACCATGCAACAGGAGTTTCCTCCACGACTCATAGCTGATGGTCTCCCAACCTGGGATCAAAGTGCTGGATGTTTTGGTAGGACCGGAGTTGCAGCTGCCGATGGAGTTCTTCTTGGAGGAAGAAGGCGCCCGTGAGAACTGATCCATCGGCTCGTTTTGTGGGTCGCAAAATCCTCTGCCCTTTGGTAAACTAACAGTTTGCTATTGAAAATGGCTATTTAGTTCGTTGATTTACCCATAAAACATGGCGATTTTCTATAGCTATGTAAACGTTGACCAGAGGGTACCATTGGATGCTCCATATTTTTTCTTATGACCCAAATTTGAGACAACTAGTTGGGGTGTATCTCCATATATTGAGACAACGCCAAGTGATATACTGGTTGGTGGTTTGGAACATGTTTTACTGGAATTTCATCATCCCAACTGACGAAGTCATATTTTTCAGAGGGGTAGGTATACCACCAACCAGAACATTTGGGGATTAATTAGTTGAAATCAATCATGGTTGATGATTGTGTCTCTGGTTGTCAACCTTCCCTGTATATCACAGGCTATTGATACACTTATATTACCCTCTGGTAAATTAACTTGTTGACCCTGAAAAGCACCTTAATGTCTTTCTGGAAACTAGTCTTCCAACCCCAAAAAATGCCAGGGTCAAACTGTTAATTTACTGGAGGGTCTTGGAAGATTAGTGAAACCACTAAAAACACCAGTAAATCCATTAAAGATTCCATCCGGGTCTATGTTAAATCCATTGTAACATTGTTGGTTGTAATATGTCCGTCCTCTCGTCATGACATCCCCTGTATGGTTTGATCTAAACCCATATAATAAAATATCTCCGTACAGCTTTGTTCTATGTCCATGACCATGAAACCCATTGTTTATTTATCCCCATCAAAGAACTATGCCTGGGTTACCTATCCCATTATGATTATATAATTAGATAAGATTATTACGAAACCATTACAAACCATAAAAACCTATAAACATTTCCCATAAACAAAGAAAACTATGGTTGGTTACATACTATGAAACCCATTACCCTCTGGTAAACTAACAGTTTGCTATTGAAAATGTCCCAGTCGAAATAGTGGATTTACCGAGCTATAAATGGTGGATCTTTCCATCGTTTTTTGTATGTTTACCAGGCCGGGTAAATTCCCATTTAAAAGAACATCTATGGTTCATAGAATTGGATGATGGGAAAATTTACAGGAAACCCCGATCAATTTGATGGTAAAAACCATGGTTTCCGGTTAAGATTTTCCCACCAAAACCAATCCATTGAATGGTTGGTTGCAATGTGGGGCCCCCTAGTTATAAGTTGGTTTATAAGCCCCAGAAACTATAGTTATAAATACCATAAACCATAGTTATTGGAGTTATTGTCACCAACTTAGCTATCGAACGTGGGCCCCACTTTGTATGGTTGGTTATCTATCCCATTTTTTCGAAGGTGAGACCGGCGACTTCCGGGAGACCGGCTTTTCAGCCGCGACCACGGCGACCGGCTTGCCACCGTTACCGGCACTGCGAGCAGGTGGCGAAGCAAGATTTTTTCGGCACTGGGATGACATGATCATTATCCCAGTGATATAGTATCTGGGTAAATTATAACGACCTCACTACGACCTCACTGGAAATCATGGTTAGTAAGGGAAATCATCCCCAAATGGCCTTAATTCAGGTTAGTGAAATATTATAATTTACCCAGATAGTATCAAGTATCATCAATTATACAATATCAATTAATGATATATCAGTGATAATTAATGATACTATATATAGTATATCCATTAATATTAGTATATCAACTATGGTATAACTATATAGTATATCCATTGTGGTATAACTATATGGTATCAATCATATCTTTATTCTTTTTTATCATACTTAATAGAGGGATATGGAAATGGACATAGATATCATTCTATTTATAGAGAAAACATGGACATCTAACTAACTAGATAGATACACATTCTAGAATATCACTAGATATTCAATCACAGGGATAATCCATCCTACAAGGTGCGGTTCTTTACGGTAGATATATCGAACTACTCATGGCCTTGATAAACCAGTATTCACATATATATTCACATCTCCGTGTTGTCCAGCACCAATATCCGAGATTCGCCCAATATCCATTCATAACTCATAGGATCCATGGTGCTGGTATATATGCTAACATAAAGGGGGTATACTGATGGTAAATGTTACCATGTATAGCAGCACCATGGATCCGTCATGGATAACTCATAGCTATGCCCCGGTAATTCCCTCCAAAAATCCCCGATTTCTTCCATAGCCATGGCCTTTTTTGGTGCCGGACCTCCAGGTGCGACGTGGCCAGAGGGGCCCTCTGCGACAACGGAGCGAGCCGTGGCAGCTGAGGCGCTGCAGCTGGAGCCGGTGGTGCGTCCACGGAGCTTCAGACGAAAACGCTGAGTGTTTGTGGAGGCGCGCGGATGTGGGAAATTGTGGGATTACCCTCTGGTAAACATACAAAAAACTATGGAAAGGTCCACCATTTTTACTGGGAAAATCCACTATATCTATGGCCATGTTCAATAGCTATGTGACAAATTACCAGAGGGTATTTCGTGGGATTTGATGGGGATTGGGTGGGTTTATTTGATCTATAAAAATATCTATTTGATGTTGGAAATCATGACAAAATCTATGGAATCCCACTATCATCCAATAGTTTATAATCTACTTTTTGTTCCACTAACTTTTGGATGGGGATTATAAATTAGTGGGATGATAGTGGGATTAGTGGGAATATAGTACGATCATCATTCCACTATAATCTAACTATTGGATGATAGTGGGATTTGATGGGGATTCCATAGATGTCCCGAATTCCCATGGGTGGGTTGATGAAAAAAGAGGGGTTTCTTCAGAAATCCCTTTAAGAACAAGTTTCTATGATGATAGATGGGATTAACCAAACCGGCCCCTCTATTTGTATCAAAAGGACATTATTGGATTATAGTGGGATTTGATGGGGGTTGCCCTCTGGTAAACATACAAAAAACGATGGAAAGATCCACCATTTTCAATGGGTAAATCCACTATTTCGACTGGACCATTTTCAATAGCGCACTTATTTTCAATAGCGCACTGTTAGTTTACCAGAGGGTATATATAGTGGTATTTGATGGGGATTAGCATCTGGTAAACGTTTACAGTTCGCTATGGAAGCCATGGCCCATAGAAATAGATGATTTACCGAGCTTTAAAATGGTGATTTCTGTAGCTATGTTAGTCATTACCAGAGGGTAGGTGGGTGTATTAATCTACGATATTCCACTATTGATGGATTCATGACATTATGGATATTTAGGGATTATAACATTAGATTCCATATGGATTATGGGGATATGGGCTTATTATGGATTAATCCACTATAGTCTATGATCCATGGATTATAGTGGGTTATAGTGGATGATTGGGATATTGGGATTATGGCTTAATGGGATTATTGGGATTATCTAATGGGATTGAACTGCTTTATTTTTATTGGACAATGGATTTAGCCAACAAGAATAATAATGTGGTAATATGTGGTAATTATGAATAATATTGATTTCACTGGTATTGAATAGTGGTAATATGGGGTAATTATTAGATTGAGAAATTCAATACCCCCTGGTAAACTAACAGTTTGCTCTTGAAAATGGCCCAGTCGAAAGAGTGGATTTACCCATTAATAGCATGGTGGATCTTTCCATCGTTTTTTGGACATGTTTACCAGGCCGGGTAGTATATGAATGATGAACGAATCCTTGGAAGATCATCCCGCGAAACGGACCTGAATTTCTGTATATGTGTTAACCCATTGTGGTTATAAGTTAGATCTAATCCAAGAACCACACTGAAAGTCCATAATGTGGAAAACCAATAATCCCATTAAATCACATAGTTATAATCCCATTATTGGTTAATATTGATTAAATGTGGTAAGTGGAAATCCTATTGAAATATGGACTTTCATATGGATTAAACCACAAATCAACAGTTAAATATAATCCATATGAAAGTCCATATTTCTATGGGATTTCCATGGGATCTTAACGGATCAACAAAAATTGTGGTTCTGGGGGTATCTCAACAACCAGAGCGTCTTGTGCTGTTATAAACAATGTTTTTTCAAAGTGGTAACTAGCTGATATTGGATTATTTATATATATATATATATATATCATTTTTATGAATTCTTATTTATTACTATAACTAGTATTATTGCGATTCTTCTTATAAGTTCATTATTTTAGAGCAGGGGATGTTAGGGACAAATGGACTGGCACAATGTGCCATAGAAGCAACTGGAGAAACACATGCATAACACATCATGACATTGCAAATTGCATGGCGGTATTGCATGATAGTGATATAGACAATGATAATGATCACAGTAAATTAATGGTATTGCAATTGCATGGTAATTGTATTCGAATGGTACATCAAATGGATACCATCTGGGGACAGTGTGCCTGGAATGGGATACAACTTATAACCCCTAATTTCCATTCTGATGGGAAAATCATTATCAAGTATGAGGTTTGGATAATTTTACGGATACGAAGGCTGAGTTTGCAATGGTGAGAGGAGTTTTCACAGTTTTCAGATCTAAAGTTGGGAATCCCGCCATGTTTTTCCATGATTTTACAACATAAAAGTGACATAACATGGGAATTTCCTATTTTTTTTATGGAGCTGTGCTGCATTTTTATTGGGGATTCCCATGGTTTTCGGAAGTTGGGAATCTCCATAAGTCAGTCATCCATTTGTTCCGGGTCCGGGTCTTAAAACCTGGGAGGCTCACAGATGAACTGAGCCAATGTCATTCCCAAATTGGAGATGCATAGTGACGAATCACCACAGATCCAGACCTCCGAGATGCAACCCCAAAGTCATCTAAAATACGAGTTGAAAGTTCCCTAAAATCATCTAAAATCATCTAAAATCATCTAAAATCATCTAAAATCTGAATGTGCAATTTGTTCCATAGTCTAGTTTGCTGATGTTTCCTGGGGTTACGTTATTGCAACTCCCAAGGCAAGCAAAGCGGATAGACTTCCAAATCTATAGCAGATCATTTTTCCTTTGAAAATACGGTCCACCCTCTAAGCCTTAAGAAATGACTTTGCACAAGGCAACATGAACCCCTTCAAACGAGCCCTTCGGACATGTGCTGTAGCACCTGTTGGTGGTTTGGAACATTTTTCATTTTTCCATATATTGGGAATAATCATCCCAGCTGACGAACTCATATTTTTAAGACGGGTAGGGTTCAACCACACACCAGGTTAGCGTTTGAGCGCTCGGGTTCCACGTTAGTGTCTCGATTCAGATGCTTCAAGAGCATGACGGATCACGTTTTGCGCAGCGATCAAAAAACGTTGGGACGTGACCTGCACATTGAGCAGTTTTTAGATATGTTCAGTGCTGGAGAAGCAGGCATGCTTTGTGCAGGACTAAATAAACCCTGAGAATCCCTGAGATGTTTTTTTTGGGTAACCTCTGGTAATCAAACATAGCAACGGAAAATCTTCCATTTGTAGATGTTTTTTGCCCATTGAACCTCTGATTTGCTTATATTCATTTATTTAGGATGGTCAATTGCAATGTTTGCTTAGGTAATCAGTTCGTATTTCCCATTAAGTCACCAGGAAATCACATTAAAATCCATCAAATCACCATGTTTGATTGCCAACAGGTAACTACCTGAAGATTTGATCTATATCACCTTAAGCATTTGGACGTTTTCTCCCAGCTTTGCCAGAAGCAGATCCATTGTTTCGCAGGCGTTTCCAGTCATAAATCCACGAGGAATCAGAGCCCCAAAGAATTCGGAGGCCTACAAGCCAACAAAAGAATAT